CACCTGATTTTTATGGAAATTTGGGGGAAACCCTGCTCTGTTTAGACTATTCCAGTCTTATCACTGCAATTACAATCTCTATTCCACGAGTTACAAGTACAGATTACTGCCACCTGTGTGGAATCTCATCCCTTCACCTCTATGTAAATGTTTCCTTTGAAAACTTAATTATGAAAGAGTTGCAATTTACACAGTCAAGAGCCATAAGAAGTGATCTTTTTCTGAACAGGTTAAATGCATATTAGTGTTATATTATGCACGCAGTTGTAATATTCAGATCTTGAAAATGACTGAAGGATGTCAAGAGTAAGCCTGATTCCTCCAGCAGCTGTATGAAGGATACAGTTTTGCCCTCCAAAACACCTACACAATCCTCCTGTCACTAAATTGCTACTGAAAGTGTGTTTCAGTGAACAGATTTGGGGAGAGTGCCTGTGTTGTTTGGTGAGCTTAGTGTGTGCAAATAGTTGGGCCAACTGTGAGGAATGCTCTTATATATTGGGGGCTGTTCTCAGTAACCAAGTGAGGTCCTGACCCTGCAAACATATCTGGGCATGCTTTAGGTAATGAGCTATATTTTATAAGCTTATTTAACATGTGCAATGTAAAGAAGGTAACAGAATTTGGAGAATCTGAGTGTTCTGTTATCTGCCTGAATATTACCAAACCTCATTTTTACATACTTGTAACTTGCTATTACAAAATATTAAAATGGCATTTCGTTCACCCTGGAATGTGGCTTTTTGCTTTTTTTTAGAGAGAAAAGCAGCCCTCTCACCACTGCATTGAAGTGAGTGCACCCATACCAATGGGAGTTCAGAGCATAAGACTCATCAGTTGTGTAATAATCCTTACAAGATGTGTGGTATGGAGAATTTGCTCACGAGTGCTGTCTTCCATCCTACGGATTGGACTCTTGTTCTTTTGCAGGAGCGATGAGGGACAACACGGTTTGAAGAATCAGAAACAGAGAAAGTAAAGGGCACCTGCCCTTTCCCTTTTTGTTGGGGGTTTCTGTTGTTTGCCTTTGAACCGCACATCAGTTACTTTATCATCCTTTTCCACTGCTGCTCCTGTTTTCCAAGTTGCCGGCTTCTCTCAAAAGCCCTGTAGTTTCGAGTGCCTTTCTTAAATTTTCATCTCCCGGAGACATTTCAGCTGTGACATTTTAAAAATTTAAGCTTAGCTTTCATGCCTGCAGAGGCTGTGTCAGAGACAACTGAAGACAAACTGAAAAGCAAGGACCTCTTGACAGCGGGTGGGGTCATTGCTTTCAGAGAGCTGGAAGGCATGAGTTCGATCAAGAATGATTTTTACATTACTTTCTTGTGGGAGTGAGGTTTATACAGTCATGTCATGTAGCTACAGGTATATTTGGGGTGTATCCATCGGTTAATAACGTTTTAACCTAGTGGCTTACTCCAGACAGGATTAAAGCTGTCAGAATAGTTTAGTTTCACGAAAATAAGTTGCGGAGCAGGGAGGATGTGTCGGGTACTCCCCGCATGATGGAAAGGCTGCAGCAGGAGCTTTTTAGGCAACAGCATCCACTGTCTAAAGAGAGACCTTAAGTATACCTCAACTTTGGAAGAGATTTCAGTTCCAGCTTGTACCTTAGACCCTTTAGTTAACAAACCACGTGGTACAGATGTGTGGGGAACCAGGCTTTCTTCATTCTGATCACGTGCTTTAAGACCGAGGGAGTTAAAACATCTATTGAGATCACAAAATGTATAAGAGGCTGAGGAGAGTAAAGGATGGAGTAACTTTCACTACAAAGGAGACCAGAAGATGGGATTACTGGGGTGAGGGGAAAACAGAGCAGATGAGGAATTCCTACACCTGTTGTGTGTGTGAGGGGGGAGCTGGGGAAGAGAAAGTGGCAGGCAGAAAGGGAAGGAAAAGCAAAGGGAAGCAGGAGGAGAAAAGAAAATTCAGGTTAGGAAAGGCATCAAGAAAGGCTTTGAAGATCACTGGGAGAAGAGATTAAACAGCAACTAAATTAATTTTGAATTTAATTTGTACGTTCTCAGAAGAAATCAGTGAACTCCTATCTAAAGAAGTGCAAGCGAGGCAGAAGAGAACAAAGGGGTTGCAGGGAGAATCAAATTTGAAGAAGAGGCAGGTCTGGGCATGGGAGCCAGTTAATTTTAAGCACTGTTTAGTGAATGTGTCACTAATGAATGTGTCAGGGATAATGGGAGCTGAAACTTGCGGTAGAAGATGCCAACCTGGCCACAGGAACTCTATTAGAGGCGTTGTTGCACGGCACAAGAGCGGAAACAGAGAAAGAGGCTCTTGCGAATGAGACAAACTAAGAGTTGGTCGGTTTGGTTTTTTTTAATAGTGTTTAGATAAATCATTCCCATTAACTTTGAGCCCTGATTCAGCCATCTGAGCACGCTGGATTAGCGCAGTTCGTTTCCATTCCCACTCCCTCTGTGCAAGTTCCCTCTCTGTTCACAAGCCTGATGTCCACGTGGTTCTGACTGTGTGTGTGGGAAAAATGGCTGGAAAAGGAACTCCTGTAAAGGCTCCAGGCAGTCTGAGGATGGAGCAACTGTTTTGTCAGTGGACAAATGGTGGCAGTGTGTACAGAGTGACCAGATTCCTGAAGCAACTGTGTTGGCTTGAGCAGGGTCTTGACACAGCAGTGACGTGCACAGGACTGAGGGCAGACCTGGCTTACAGGAACATTTAAGTAGCTGCTTCTGTTGCCAAACTATTACCCAGATTTTTAAAAAGTGGCCTGGCCCAGGAAGGTGTTATATATAAAAAACCCTCCAAAAACAGGTCACTTGCTACTGCTAAACCATCAGGAAGAGTGGCATTGACCAAGAAAAAGGTAGGGTATTCCCAGTTTACCGGGTACAGGATCAAGTAGATTGCCAGCTGCTGTTCTGCAGAAGGGCTACAAAACCTGAAACTAAGCCTGCTTTGGTTTTAAACTGAGCTTCCTAAGATGAGATTTGGTCTGTATGTGTCGCCTTCTTTGTCCGCTTGACAATCTCTGCTCTCAAAGACAGCAAGGGGTTGTGGAGATGATCTCTCTGAAGTCTTGGCAGCAAGGAACAAGGTGGAGACAACAGATCACCTGTGACCCCGCTGAAAGGCATTCAAGCCCTTCTGCACAGCAGAGAAACTTTTTAAATATCCCAACAGCAGAATGGCCAAGCCACAGGGCACCTGCCTGAAACCACATTCCTGCCGCTGTCCTGCCCCTTCCTTAAGAACAGCTTGGGGGAAAAGGGGGAATGTTTAACAGTGGTAACTCATGAGGGAGGGAGCTGTGACAGCGCTGGTGACTTCCAGGTGGATTTTCAGTACAAGAAAAGTCATGTGTGCAGCTTTACTGGGGAGCATAGCAGGACCTGACCAGGACCTGGTCCATGGAAAGGACCTGATCCACGTCAGGATCCTGACCAGGACCTGGTCCACGGAGAGGATCTGATCCATGGGCAGGATACCGAACAGGATCCTGAGGGATAGAACAGGGTCTGCCCTCACTCAGACCGCGCGGTTTGGGGGATGTTTGGAGGAGCAGGGGGGCGCAGGTTGGGGACTGGAAGGGTCCCAAGGCTCCGCCGGGCACTTTTCACCCCACGCCCGGCACACGAGAACCTCTCCCCGACTTCCCGGGACAGCCCTTGCGGAGCCTCCACCGCGTCGGCTCCCGCACCGCACAGCCGGCACTTCCTCGGGGCCGATACTCCCGGGGGAAACCCCACAAAGGCGGGGTGACCCCCACAAACGCGGGGTGACCCCCACAAAGGCGGGGTGACCCGAAGCCCCAAACCAGCGAGGCAGGGCACCCCCACAAAGGCGCGGTGACCCGAAGCCCCAAACCAGCGAGGCAAGAGTCACCCCACAAGGCGGGATGACCCAAAAGGAGGCAGGGGACTCAGCCGAGCCCGGGGAGCCGCGCCGTGAGGCGACCCGAGGGCGAGGAAAAGGTGGAGACGCGGCTGGACCCCGCCATGGCGGCCGCCACCTCTCCCTCAGGGCGGTGCCACTTGGTACCTCCCACCTCCCCCCCCCCCGGCGCCAGCAATGGTTTCACCCCCTCCCCGCCTCACACAGGGGGCGAGGAGGAGGAGGAGGAGGAGGAGGGGAGGGGGCGTGGCTCCGCCATAACCCCGCCCCCCTCATTACCGCTCGCGGCCGCGCGAACCAACGCGGGGTGGGCGGTGTGTGTGTGTCCCCTCCCCCCCCCGCGCGCTCATGAATATGCATGAGGGCGCGTCGCGTCGCGGCGGGGCGGCGCGGGCGGCGATTGGGCGGGAGCGGCGGCGCGCGGTGACGCGCGCGGCGGCGGTGCGGGTGCCGATTGCTGCAGCCGCTTGTCAGTGTGACGAAGATTGGCACCCGAGGTAGGCGCTGTCACTCAAAGCCCGCTCCAGCCCCGCCGTCCATCACGGCGCGCCCGCCGCCGCCGCGCCGGCAGAGCGGCTTCCCCCGGAGGGGCGGAAAAGAGCGGGGAGAGAGAAAGAGACAGGGAGAGACAGAGAGAGAGAAAGCGGCGGCGGAGGAGGAGGGGGGGGGGGAGGAGAAGGGAGAGAGAGAGAGAGGAGAGAGAGACGGGGCTGCGCCGCCCGCAGCGGAACGGGGGGTTTTAAAGGGGCGGTGGCGGCGGGCGCGGGGAGGGGAAGGGAAGGGAGGGGAGGAAGGCGAAGGAGGGGAAGGAAGGCGGGGGTGGTGGTGCTGGTGCTGGTGCTGGTGGTGGCGGGGGGAAGCGGAGCGAGGAAGGTTCTGGAAGGGCCGCGGTGCGCCCGTTGTGTCCCGGCGGGGGCGCGCGCGCGGGGAGGAGGGGAGGGCGCGGGAGCGCGCGGGTCCGCGCGGAGGAGGAGGAAGAGCAGGAGGAGGAGGAGGAGGAGAGGGGGCGATGGGATGGGGGGTGAGGGAGGGGGAGGAGGAGGCGACGTGATGCTTAAAGGGGCAGCGCCGTGTTGGCCGCTCCTCGGAGGGGCTGGATGGGGGGGTGGCGGTGGGAACGGGGGGCGCTCCGCGGTCCCCATCGCCACCATCCCGGGCCCCGCCGGGCCGGACCGGCCGCTCCGACCGCGGCAGCTGCTTCCTTCCTTCCCTCCTTCCCTCGTCCTTCTCTTCCTCCTTCCCTCTCTCCTCCTCTCCCTCTCTCCGCACCTGCACTGCTGCGGGAGGAGGAGGAAGGGGATGCAGGAGGTGCCCCCCCCAGCCCCCGATTTTGGGGATGCTTCCCCCCCATCCCCCCCTTCCTCCCGCCCCAATTCATAGAAAGCGGAGCCTGCTGGTGGCGGCGTGGGTTTGTGCCTGTGTTTTTGTCCCGTTTTCGGTGTGACCCCGCTGTCTCCCGGCTCGGTTATGGGCAGACACCCCCTCGGCGCCCGGGCGGGGGTTCCCGGGTGTTTACGCGGCCGCAATTAGGAGCCGAGACTTGACACTGCCCAGAGGCCCCGGGTTGTGATGTGTGTAAACAACAATAAATCAAGCGCTGGTTTTGTCCTGAAGTATTGCCTCAATTAGCCACATGTCCCGGGTCTCCATGGAGTAGTCCACGGCTTTCCCTCATTCCCGCCACGCCAGTCTGTCAATTAACAATATAGTAATATAAGTACTTAACACATCTGTGTGATAATTCTCTGTGTAGCTTATTGTTGTGGGGTTTTTAATAGTTTATTAAATATTTTCTTTTTTCTTAAGTGTTGACGTATAGTGTAATTTTAGAGACAGTCATAGTATTTTTAATTTTTTTTTTAATAGTTTTGGGTTCCTTTTTGCAGTTGTATCTTAGTAAATGATGAGTGTGATTTTGGGAGGGAGAATCACAGAATGGCTTGAGTTGGAAGGGACCTTAAAGTCATCCAGTTCCAACCCCTTGCCATGGACACCTTCCACTACACCAGGTTCCTCTAAGCCCCCATCCATCCCAACACTTCCAAGGATGGAGCATCCACAACTTCTTTTGGCAACCTGTGCCAGTGCCTCAACACCTTCACAGTAAACAATTTCTTCCTAATATGAGACTCTAAATCTGGTATCACACCCTTAAAAAAATTTTGTGCCATGCAATGAATTACATTTTTTAATTTTTTTTTTTTTTTTTACCTCACGTGCACTTACAAGCAGCCCAGGCAAGACTCATTTCTGTCCTTACCCCTCTTTGGAATATGATTTGTGCATTCCATTAAACACATCACAGGAATAGGGAGCGTGGGCAGTGTGTCCTGGATGTTGGAAAATGCTCGGGCCAGGATCCTGCGGAGAATAGCAGGAGGATGTACATAATTTTCAACATATGCTAAATGTCTCATTTGTTTCTTTGTTTTGGTTTGGTTTTTTGGTTTGTTTTGGTTTGGGTTTTTTTGTTGTTGTTTTTCAGGTTTTTTGTTTTTTGTTTTTTTGTTAAAGCTAACAATTTCTGTCTTAGTTTTTACCAAAAAAAAAAAAAAAAAAAAAAACATGCACAAAGTTTCTAATTTTATTCTTGAGCGTGCTGTGTGCAGAGTTTCACCAGCGTAGGTTGTTTAATGAGGGAAATTGTAACAACTCAGCTTAAGAGATCCACGCATCTTGCTGTTCTCAGTACTGTGGATACACTCCAGGTTGTTCTCTTTCCCCTATGGGATTTAATCTGTTTATGGTCTGCCTGTGCTTATGGGGTCATATCCCTTTAGTTATGTGTGTGGTTAGAGTGAGATGGCTTCGGCAGCTGGATGGAGTCCTGGTTAGTCCCTGTCAGCGCAGGTGTGAATTTTATGGATTACACTGAACAGGGAAACAAATTGTTGTGATTGTATCAGAAATCCTTCCGTGTATTTCCAGACCGTGTCATTGCTACAGTATCAAGCAATAGCAAATGCATTTGAAATGCATTTTCCATCATATAAAATTGCAGTTACCCTTTTCTGAGAATAACTTCTAGAATCATTACATTGAAGTTTTCAGAAGTTTCTGAGGAAAGAAACCCCCAAAATATTTCACATATTTGAAATAAGTAGTTCGGGTGGTGTTCTTCTTGTATGTTCTATCTTCAGTTTACTTTACAAACTGTACAGTATATTTTTACTGTTGACTGTTACCCCTTGATGTATTTTCTTGTCATCTTATGATTAAAGTATCCCCAGGAAAATTTCAGTGTAGGTTCCACTCTGTCTTCGTAGCGTAATCTCCAGATAAGTAGTGAAAGGCAGAGCTCAGTGTGCTTCAGTCATAGGGAAGTGTAGGGGCTGTTGGCACTGCAGGGAGATTTTGGAGACTCAGATCATTTCTCATTGATCTCCTGAGTGGGTTTGGACCATCCTTTTTTCTTTTTTTCCCCCTTAATCTGTGCTTGTGTATCCTCTATATAAATTCAGTGTTAATACCTGTCTCATGTAAGAAGTGGGTCCTGTTATCATGTAGCTAATGTGCTTTGCTGGACTGAAATTTTCTGATGTGCTGATAGGAAAACTGAGGATTCTTCAAATTTTATGTGTGTTGTTGTTGGAGTTGGTTGGGAATTTATTTTTGTGTTTGGAAATTCCACTTTGGCATGTAAAAAGTCAGTCTGATGTTAAGTAAGTTACAGCCTTGATTTGTACTTTTAATCTCAATACAATTCTAAATATTTGGGTTATGTAGAAATGACATTTTAAAACTGAGACCTTGCAGTCTTCCATTAGTAGGACTGAAAGGAGTTTAGAATGAATGAAATATATGTTTAAATTTATTTTAAATACTTCAGTCTCATAAAATAACTGTGTCTTCTAGAAGATGTATTTTCTTCTTCAGAATTTTGCTTTCTTACTATATTTCTCTAATACCTTTCCCTGTGCTGTAAATGCAATACTCTAATAAAGTCCTGATAATTCTGATTGCTACCACAGCAAGTTTGGAAGTGTTTAGGAGCAGTTCAATTTCCTGGAAAAGGGTAACTCTTTGGTGTTATTAAGCGCAGTGTTAGTGGCCAAGGATGAATGATCCACAGAACCACTGCTGTGGTAGTGGAACTGCCTGTTCTAATGGCCCTGTTAATGTCCTGAATGAAGCAGCTCAAATTGTATTTCAGAATATTATGTTGTGGTCTGGGAGCCAAATGTTGCCTCTGCAAAACTGGCACATATGTGAAAGCTTACAGTAAAGCAGATTAATATTTTTATTTTGGTGTAAGTAGGACTGAATTCATTTTTGTTTGTGTGTGTGTGTGAAATTTAAAATTCTACAAATGTTACTTCTCTCGCAGCAGCAGCTGGTTACTTTAGTCTCACTTGTTAAAAGAGTCTGTAGGTTTAAAAATGAGAATTCTCTGGGGGGAGGGTTATTTTACCACAGCTCAGTGCTGTAGAAAATGTAAAGCAACTTACTGCTCTTCCAAGCAAGAGGATTCCAAGAGCAAGGAGAAAAAGCTGCTGATAGAGTTCTTTCATTTGCTTGCTTGGTGCCAGATGTTACCGAAATATTTTACCCAGAGCATTACAGATCTCCCCAAGGTAACTGAGCGCTGAAATATTCACTCTTGTAGCAGGTTCTTCACTTTGTTCACTGGGGTTGTTTCGTGCCAGAACTGTGGGACACGGGGATTCATCAGGTGGAACTGGGGGTGGGGTAGGAAATAAAATCGCGGCACCACGGATCTGGAGACTCCAATTTTGTTGTTCTGGAGCAGCGCCACGTTTTTATGAAGTTGGTGAGGGGCAGTAACTTGGTTCCCCTGCCAGCAGCGTGGGGATGCCACATCGTGTGTGTCACTGAAAGGGAAAAGTCGGTGTTAGAGGTGGAAATAAAGCTTAGCTCTTCTTGTCATCCCGTGGTTGGTTATCGCCCTTGGTAGGAACACGCTGTTCGGGTTTTAATACGGCAGCTGCTCCAGGCCATGGTGTTCCCATTGTTTTCTACACGGGTGTGTAAAAGGTATTTGCTGTTAAACCTGAAGGCCATTCAGGTAAATAGAGAGTCAAAAGGTGATATTCAAAAATGGAAGCTGACTGTGATAATCACAGACTGTCCCTTTGGCCCGGCTGTGCCCAGGGGGCTGGAACTGTCTCTTCTGCACCTCGCAGGAAACTCGGGCAAAAAAAGGACAATATAGCAGATTATTGCTGGTGTAATAAAAGAGGGATCCATTTTTCAAAACTAACACATTCCAATTTATATTTTACTGGTGAGCTTTTGGAATTGCCTGTGGTTTTTTTCTTGGGGACAGAAGAAGCTAGGAAATGTGGCTCTACTTCACATCCTGCTTGGCTTTTTTCAAATCACATAGCAAACAAAACAAAGGGAAAAGGATATTAGCATGCTTACTGAAAAATAAAAGTCCAAGCCTTTTATATTCAAAGGAAACAGAGGCAATTACAGAACAAAACTTGGAGCTTTGTACACCTTTAACATGCCTGGAGAACAGGGGAATGGAACTGTGTGTGCTCTGTTGCATGTTTTTTGTAACTGAAGAACTTCCAGGTCTGTCTATGATCACTTAACTTACGTGTTCTAGCCCATTTTTGTTTGTTCTGGGCCACGATAGTAGCAATACCAAAAGTAAGATTACCTGGTTATTTTTTTATTATTATTGTTATTTTAAGGTGTTGTTTTCAATGGCTTATTTCTCAGTCATACTGAAATTTGCCGCAATGAATATGTTTGAGCAGGGTCATTCTGGCAATTTTAAATGACTCAGCATCTTGAAAATGACTTTAGGAGAAAGTAAATATGTAAATTTAAAGGAAAGGGGGATGCCTCTTACTTAAGAGCACATCAACAGCTGAGTTCTGGAATTTAGCACTGGAGAGCGAGAAGGTCAGCATTCCCATGGAACATATGGCTGTTCCTTGAGAAACTTCAACAAATCATAAGCTCTTGGAAAACCTGGTTGATGTATGTTACTGGACGAAGATTTATTAGCTAAATTATCTGAATATTCCATGTAACAGGAGTGTTTTTCCTGTCTGTTGGTCCTTGTGTATCCCCTGACTGCACAGCCATCCTCTGGACCAAGTGGTTAACATGATGCATCCCACAGCAATAGGGGATGGGTAAATTTAATCCTAAATAGTCTTTCTGTACCTGTGCTTCTCCCCCAACCCCAGAACACTTAGGCAACAGTCCTGCTCCTGGTGGGATGAGGACTGATGTTTGGGGAGAGGTGGAAAACAGAGTGGGGCAGGAAAGGAAGGATTTTTATTTAATCATCATTTTGAAAAGAAAATAACAGTTCATTTTAGGGCATAAACTTAGTAGCAAAACAAAGTTGGTCAGGTTTGACCAAATGTTAGGGTCAAAACAGGGGAGCTTCTGGGAAAGTTAGTGATGGACTGGATCTGGATTTGACAGAGGGTTGCTGGGCTAGGATTTGGTGTGATTCAGTTTTTTCACTGGTCCAAGTCCATGCTTGATTCATTAATGGGGTCATTATTCCTGAAATCATAAAGGACATAAAAAGGAAATAATTGGCAATGCAACATCTTGATGAAGTGTTCAAATGCCAGAAATGCACAGAGAGCATTTTCTTACCCTTTCAAGGTCCATTTTAAATTCAGTTATTATTTAAATAAAACTCCTCTTCATCCTTCAGCTGTACTTCAATAGTGTTAGGAATTCACTCTTTCAAAGAACGAGTATTTGGAAACTTATGATTTAATAATAAAAATGTTGGAAAACACAACATATGTTTACATAAACTGCTAACATTGTAAAGTATTCAATAGCAATAAAGGCAGTGAGACTGGTGGTTATTCTGTGTCTTCTTTATGAAACCACAAAGTATAAACACAAAACAAGATTAACTTCAGTCATAGTTTATTGGGTGCTGATGCAAATCATGATTAAAATAGGATTTCCTGTTGCTTTGACTTAATTTGTCTGGAAGGATATGGTTCTATGAGTGTCTCCAAAAGTAGGAGAGTCACTGGAAGCTTGTGTGGATATTCCAGAGGCCTCAACAGCAAAGGGATGAAATTGTGTCTAGGATATAAGCAACCCTGTTGTTTATCCATGTGTGGAATGCCAGGGAGATGTGGAGGGGAGGGTTCTCTCTTTTTTCTTTTTTTTCTTTTTTTTTTTTTCTTCCCTTAATGGAATTGTGTTTGAAAAAAAGTAATTAAATATCATTAAGTAGGAAAGTTGTACCAGGATCAGTTCCAGCTGTGGAGCTGCTGATACACGTCCTCTGGTATGTGAGAGGTGTTCATAGCCCTTGTAATGCCACCCTCTCTAGACACTGTTCTTGATTTTTGGGTCCAAAATGTTACGACAGCAAATTGGGTAAAAACTGATGGGGGGAAAAAATCCTCTCTATCCCATAACAAGAAATATGTGTGAGGATTCACATGCTGCAACCATAAAAAGTCCTTTAGTTTGCAGTGTTAAGTACACAGAAAGAAAGGATTCTTCACTTACTGTGTGAATATTGGTGATGGATGAGGGAGTGATGGGAAATATTTTTGCTCCCTCATACCCTAATCCCTCAGGAGTCTTGGAGCAATTAAAGGAGGTTTTGTTTCCCCCGACTTCTGTTTTTCTCTTGCCAAAATTGCTGTTCAGTCCCATAATTCCTTACTTTATGGAGCTAATAAAGCAGGGTCAAATTACAGTGTGAATTGGGCAGGGGAAACTGAGATATGCTGCAGGAAGTTTCTTGAATTTGAGAATCTTTTAATAGTCAGAAGAAGGAGGTTTTTCATTTTGGAGAAGGTAGGAGAGCAACCTGAGGATTTCCTCCTGTAATGCCAAGAGCTACCTGGGGACGGGATACCTGGGATACTGAGGTGACATTATCTTGTGACTGGATTGAGTAGGATTCCTCATCTTGTCCCTGTTGTTAAAAAGTGCTGTGGTAAATTGGTGATGATATGAGCCAGGAACATGAACCATAATTATGCACCACTTCCCACTAAATATGTTGGTGTGCACACAAAGGATGTGTGCAGAATTAGGAGCTGAAGTTCCTCACAAGATCTCCTTAATAAATTTACTTCTGTTGTGCCTTGAGAAATTTATATGATTTATACATCCTTAATATCCATTTTATCAATTAACTGCATGTGCAGTTTAAGCTTATAAAGTGGCACATGTTTCATAATACCTTTTTTTTTTTTTTTTTTTGTATTTGGTCCCTGCAAGTAGGAGAATTTGCTGATTTAAATATATACCAAAAGCAGATTTTACACAGAGAGTGAATTGCTAAAGAAACACATATCTTTTAATGAGGTGGTTTGTTGTTTGTCATGCTGTGTGACGTTGTGTGGTGATGCTGGGAAGGTGGTCTGTGATATAAATATTTTGTGCGGCTTGTTAAGTTATGAAATGTGGGGATATGAAAAGAGGATGCTATGAAAGATTAATGAGACAGCAGAGCAGTATATGTAGTGCTGGAGAGATCTTACTGAATGAAGTCAGTGCTACATGGTATGTATATTCAAAATCCTGCATGCAAAGAAAGGTTGATGGTAGCTTGTAGTGTAGCCTGTATCTCTGCAGAAATTCAAGTTTAGTTGTGGATTTAAATTTAATTTTCAGTTTCTTAAAGTATAATATGCATTTGTTTTTTTAATGTAATCTCATATCCATCAACATTAACATATAAATAACTCTATTGCACCCACCAAACAATAAAGGGAAAAAAGTGACACAAAGTAAATCTCATTTTACTGCAGCCAAAAATTGGTTTTGTGGCTTTTTAGGGCTTGACTCCCAGGGCAATTGACAGCATAGCTGTTGTATAATAACTGTGTAACTGTGTGATGGAACTCCCTCAGGCTGGTGTTATGTTCCTGTTCAGGAACATCATCTTTCTTAAAGGTATAATATTCTAAACAATGACTGTACTTGGTAAGTACATAAGACAGGGGAAATGGAAGACACCTTGCTGCCGAATGAGAACATTCTCATTGAGCACAGCTTTAATAAACTTGTCTGCATCAACTTCATATTGATTTGTTTGTCTTAATTTCACTGAATGACTCTTCATGGGCAGGTTGATGGAGATCGATAACCACTGCATGAAAAGATGGAATGAATCCTGGATGGCATGTTGTCATCTGCACTCCACTTACTGCTTCATTGTTGTTATTATTATTTGAATCTATAAACATACAAATGTATCTGGATCTTGATGTCTGCTAATATGTGTCTGTGTCAATGTAGAGGCAGGTCTTTGCTTCTTCCTGGCTGACATGCAAAGTGAGAGAACGATGGAAAAGAGGGTTCTTGGATGATTGGCTGAGCAAGTTCATATTTTGCTTTGTAGTAAAAGCCTCAGTCGTGATCTGCTTTCTGAGAGAGACAAAGCAAGTTCATTTTGGTTTTGTAGATAAGTATCTTTATTATGAAAACATAACTTTAAAGCTTTTCTGCAAGAGGAATAGAAGGAAAACACAAATGGGCAAGAGCAGTTCCAGTTTTAGACTCCACAGTGTCTTGGTGTTGTCTCCATCCTTTCACAGGTGTATCTGCTCCCTGTTCTTGTCCTGAGTGAGATGTGCAAGAAGACATAACGTGCAAACTCAGATCTCTCTTGTCTGATGTGTTTGAGGGTAGACAGTAGTTTTGGATGCTGCTAAGTGTCTCTTGGAAGAGGTCAAGATGACTGCAGCATCCCCTGGCTCCTTCTCAGCCACACCTTTCCCTCTGCAGCATCTTTCACTGGGCCTGTGTTTCGTTAGCATCTCTTCCTGCTCTCGATATCTCCTAAGCTGCCTAGAAACTTGCCTATTTCCAGAGTTTCAGCTGAGGGCTTTGCAGGCAAGAGCTACTTCTTCCTGCATTAAATATCTTTGACTGACCAGAAGTGGCAGCAGTGGGACCACTGGTTCATTGCTGGAGTTGTTTCTGAGTTAAGGGAACAGATTTTTAAGATTTTCAGCAATTCTCCTTTATGTCTGAGACAAAGAATAGATGTTTTATCTATTTATCCCAATTTATCTGGCAGTGACCTACATTTTGAAGATAATGTGAATAGTGAGAAGTCCTCTATTTGAAAGTAGACCAGTAAATTGAGGTGGGCGAAAATGAGTACCAAAATTATACAAAATACATGGTGTGTGAAGAAGGGAATAAGGGGGTTACAGTGTCTTCTCAGAATGGTATTGAGAAGCTGCAGAAACGAGAGAAGCCCATTCTCTGAGGACATAGATCTTTGACAGTTTGAGAAAAAGTGGTAAGAGCTTTTAGTGTATGATCTGCTCCTTGAGCCTTCAAGACCAGGTGTGTGTATCACTCTGGACTGAAACTCCTTCTAGCTCAGTGTTTAATCTCTTACCAATGGCTGAAATTTATACTGCCTTAGACCCCCTCAGAGTTAGAACGAGGTTTCACGCACCAGAGGTGGCATCTAGATTGTGTCTAGGCCCTTAGAATTTTGCTTTTCTATGAGCTTGTCTAAAAAACAACACACGCATAAATTTTGGTTCTCAAATCCAAATACCAACTTCCTCCCGCTTTCAAAAATGTTGGAGTCGCTTTCGCTGCAGTTCTTGTGCAGTTGTGGACTTTGTGAGGAACAGATAATCTGGTTCAAGATCTGAGCTGTGTGTTTTAGCCATCATATCATTTCAGGAAGCCCATGTGCAACCTCAGTGCCTGGAACTTCCCTGAGACAGTTTTTTAATGCTTTTTCAGCAGTTTTGTTTTCTAAATATGTTTTCACAATCGTTACTACTTTTTAAAAGTAACTTCAATGTATCAAACAGGTGCTATTAAATACAATACAAGTAATTTTAAGTGGTAATTTTTGAAAGGCTTTTTAAAATTGCTAAATAATCCTGTAACAGAACCTGTGTTCACAGAACACAGGAGCCTGACAATGGCCCATTCCTGTCATCTGTTAGTTTCCATCATGTAGGAGATTACTTGATCATGCTTTGATTACACCATGGAATGTATTCAAATGATTATGAAGGAAATTTAAATGGGGGGGGGGGGAAAGTCTTTCACCTCTCTTGGTTTCATGCTTAATTTTCACAACACTGGTGAGTTATTCCTGTCTGCATTTTGTAGTTTTATTTTTGGGATTTGCCTTGTGTAGTCTTAGGCAGACACTGAGCCATAGAGTAAAATATGAAGGTTGAACAGTGAGCAAGGTATTATTCCAAATGGAGCCTTCTGTTAGAGGTGTCAGCAAAGACAAAGGTAAATATGGAGAATGAATGTCATAAGATGAGGGAAAGTGCAGATAACAGCATGGGATACAGGTGTGATTAGAGATTATTAACAATGCAAAAAAAATATTGCAAAACAGGCAAAAAAAAACCCCCAAACCTTTCAGTTCACTTAAACTGAGGAGGGAACCACCTAATAAACCAGAAATTCTTTTAAATCACATTCAGTCTTAGAAAGTGTGTTCTGTGTTGTTTTCTTCTTCTGGTTATTTCTCTGTTGGTTTTTAGGTCTCTGCCCTCCACGTTGTACGTCAGTGGCATCTCTGCTGGAACAAGATCATGTCTTCTTCGACCCATTGAAGGAAAGGGGTGAGCAGCTTTCTCACAGACAATACTTTCTCTCGTTTAGAAAACAGTGTGCCCTGGAAGCAAATACCATCGTGTATTGTGTTGAAAAGTGAAGCCAGTTCTAGATGCTTTTCATGTGTCAAACAGACTCACTGTTCTGATTTTTGTTGCTTTTTAACTCTCTGTGTGAATGTGGGGATCTATGTTATATAGCAAGTGACAGGACCAGAGTTAAATAAGAATGAACAAAGGAGCCATGGTGAATCTGTCAGCCATCCATTTCTCTCTGAAGGACTTCAAAGGAACACGTATGAGGGAAAATTAGAAGGAATGATTACTTGTTAACAAGTCTGGTGGGTAGGTCCTTCACAACCCTGAGAGGGTTAGTGGTTAGTTTATAGCCTGAAGCATAACTATTTATATCTCTTACAAACATCTGCTGTAGCTTGTATATGTTAAAAAAACGATACCACTGAACTCCAACAGCTTACTTGCACCTTATGTTAACGTTACTGGGTGGTCCCTTTGCTCTTAATTACAAAGGAGTAAGTAGAGCAAGTGAGGAGTGATGTATGTTAAGTGATCACTTTGTGTGCATGTTTCAGCTCTCCTTTAATCTCTTCTCCTTACATACTCAACTTGCATGGAGTCTCCACATTTCTAATTATGATTACTCCCTTTAGCTTCCTTCCTGCTTTACGTTTTACCTTCAATTGTGTTAAAGGCTTGCCTTTCCCCCCCCCTCCCACTTTGCTTTGTAGAACACACTGCTTTTGTGAATTCCCTTTCGCCACAGATATCGGTGGAGTTCCCTGATTGCAGTTCATGCATCAGCTTCCAGTTACACGACCTTAATCCTTTCCTTGGGTTTTCCACACGCTTTGCTTTCAAAATAAATAGAATGGGAGTTAGTTCTGTTCTGTGTGAAGCAGACTGTCAGACTCGCCCTCGGGTTGTTTTTGTTATTTGTAACTCTCTGAATGTAACGCAAACGTGCAGCTTTCCTTCTACTCCCGATTCCTTTCACAAAGGATAATTGGCATTTTGAAAGCCAAGTTGTCCCACAGTCACATGTTCTTAGGCTCACCTCAGATACTGTATGGCCCAAGGTGTAGCTATGCTGGTTAAAGATGGTCTTGCTGTGAGTTGAAAATCGACACACACGAGCCAGAAATTACCACACGAGTAGGTGAGCCAAGAGCAGGGGTTGTGTGAGTGCACAGCAACGTGCCTGGGACGGAGTCGGCTGGTTTCCATCACAGCCACCTTTAACACAGGGCTGGACTGGCCTGGCTGACTTGATGTGAAAAAAGAGATCAGAAACTGCCCACGTGCTCTGTGAGCCCAGTGGTGGAGCTGTGGAAGTAATTAGCTCTGGCAGGGTGGCACTGATAAACATCTGGGAGCGACAGCAGCATCGCTGTCTGCAGAGTGAACATCTGCTGGGGCTGTGTCTGCTAACGAGGGCTGGGTGCCGCATCCGAAATTAGCTTATAAAAACCAAATGTGTAAATACCTCTTCAGTCACTTTTCTTAAAGTTTAGCATAGTTTGCGTCTTACCACTTCTGGGTAATGAGTTGTTTCTTTTTAGTGAACCGAAGTAATTCCTCGGTTAATTTCCTCAATTTAAGTGTGTGATTAGCTCAATTTGTTCTTCTTGATTTGCAGTAGTTGTCTTCACTAAATCTCATCAGTTCCTATCTTGCCTAATAGCTTAATCTTTTTCTGCTGTAATTATAAGTCAGAGGGGAAGCTCTTATGGGAAATAAAGGATATACCCATGCAGAATTCTTTCCTTTCTTCTTTGGTGTGTCCTGAGGGCCTTCTAGATGTGGGATGTCTCTCTCCCTTATGGAGATCTGGAAGGAAGGCTTGGTCCAGCATGTCTTGTTCTCCAGAAATTCTTGCCATGCCCTATTGGCTTTACCAGTTTACGTATTTTTGGTGCTTCCCTCTCCATATAGTTTTTTCTGCCATTAGTGTGATCTCATATCCTTGTGAGCTCTAAGACATTCTTCCTCTTCTACGACTGTTTCACCTTCTGCTTCCTCATTTCTGACCAGGAACTTCATCTTTCTCCCACAGCGAAACAACTTATTTAACAATGCCTTACGAGGAACTTCTTCAGCTTAAGAACTATTAAATAGTGTTTACTCTTTCTTTGTTGACCATTTCAATTGTTCTCCTTGTTTTTTGAGGGTAGTCTGGTCTGTACTTTGGATGTCACAGTCAGAAATTACATGTGTGCCTTTGGAGGAGGAAGAAAAGCAGCATTTTCTATGTGCTTATTCACTCTGTAAATACAGACAGACACTTGCCTGGGCTGTAAGCTGCCATTTATGAAAGAAAATAAATGTTTAAATTTAAGTCCTGCTTACAGAACTGGTATTTTAGATTGTGTCCCCTCAAACTATTTTGAAAGGTATCTCACTTTGCTACTGTGACAAGTGCTGGTTTTACTTCTAACACCAAATGACTCATAATGATCAAATTTTAAAATCTGAAGTACTTCAGTCAGTGAGTGCATTTCTGTTATTCCCTTTTTAATTTTGGTGGGGAAATCAGTAATATTTACTTTAGAAGTTTCAAAGAAAGAGATACTGATGTTTTTTAGACAGATATAACCTATTTTGTAAAGGAAGCCATGCTCACATCATCCTGGTGAACTTCTCTGGTCTTTAAAGCTCTTTAAAAAAATAAGTTTTTAAAATTGCAGCAATGCTTAGGAATCACACTTTGAGCAGAACTTGATGCAAAATAAGCCTTGAGGTTTGTCCTGAGGAGTTGGGTTTGTCTCTGTGCCTGAAACTGTTAACAGAGAAGGGAATCTTGAAATTTCTCCTGTGTTTCCAAAATGAAACACTTACTTGAGACTATTATAAACTGTAGGGGAAAATATCCAGAAATTTAAAAATTGCTCTTAAAAAAATGGTCCTGTACCACAGTAGTATGCAATGGTGAAGGAAAGATTTAAAAATAGTTGAAAAATTTGTAGGGATTGAACACATTACAAAGAAATAAGTTTTGTTCAGAACTTAAACTGCTGAATGTTCTAAAACTTAGTTCTTCAAATACTGACATAAGTGAAGGAGAGCAGAAAACCTGGAATTAGTACTTGGATGTAATCTTTTTCAAGGCATGAGCTCTGACTTCTTTTTTAATATGGATCTTTTCCTATAGTAGCTAAACATTAGGACTCCTTCATGTCAGGGAAAATTGACTTCTGTGGTAATAGTTAATGGTAATAGCTTAATGAGTTATGTGATTTCAGTTGTAATGGCTGCAAATCTGACAAGAAAATGAAATGAAAATTGGAAATTTGATGGGTACACTCTATCTGGTGGTGGTGCTTTGCTAATTTATTTTTTTTTTAATTACTGGGTGTCTGACTTAAAAATATTTAACTCATCTGGGCACCAAACTCCAGCTAATGCCTAGAGGGAATAACATACATGTATTTACTTGTGTTGAAATCCTGTTTTAATTAATGTTTCCCAAAGTATCAAATGTCTCTGAAAACGACATTTCAGAACTCCTGGGTCACTCCTGAAACTTTATAATCAAGTTGTTGAACCTTAAATGGGTTGGTTGGTAGATTCCTAATGTCAGAAGGGGTTTGAGCCTCCAGTCTCTGAAAGTAGTTTCAGGCCCTAACTCTAGAAATGGGATTCATACTCTAAGTGAACAGGGTGCTCCTTATCTGTTTTTGCATTTGGTTCATCAGTTGTAACTTATTATTCCAGCTACAGTGATGCTCAGTGTGTTGTTAACCTTTTCAAAACACAGAAACACGAATCTGCTGGTTTCTACATTTCATGTATTACCTTAGAATGTTACTTAAGTAGTACAAAAATAAATACCAAAGAGTACTTGAAGCCTGTGAATGTAAAAGAACCTCAACCTCTCATTAAAAATTTTTACGTTAAAATATAAAAAGATGCATTGAAACTTTTGCTGGTTAAACCTGTTACATTTTCCAACTGAATTTTTGTGTTGTTCAAATATGCGTGTAGCTTTCATTGTCAATAAACTCAATGATTTCTTTGGGGAGAGGTGAGCATAAATCTTATTGTTTTCCTTTATTTTTTTCTTCTTGTCACCTTTTAGAACTGGATTCTAAGTGGTCACTTTTGTAACTGCCTTTTTTTTTTTCCTTTGCCTCTAAAGAATATTTGTTCACACTTATGATGATTTGACATAATTAACGTTTTATTAACCATGATGGCAACACAGACATTAAGTATAGACAACTATCAAGATGGGCAACAGGTAGGTGTGTTTTTCTTTCTCTGTGAGCTAAACACAGTTAGCAAGAGAAAATAGTGGCTTTGTCCTCAATGGCTGCTTTGGTATTGTTTAATTGTCTGGTCTTGCTTGTAAAGAAAGATCCTTAAAATATAGCAGCTTATCACTTTAATTCTTGGGTGCCTATTAAAGGTTTAACTGATTTTTGCATGGTTTTGCTTAACTTCAGATAGAATGGTTAGGTAAGGGGTTTTACTCTGTATCTGCACTGAATTATTTGTGTGCTGTAATGATCCCATTTTTAGGAAAATCAAAGGGGTTTCTGTAATATTTTGTGTGTATGGTACTTCAATATTCCTATATCTGAAGTTACAACAGATAGAAGGTATTTACACAGTCACAGACTTGTTGGTCTTCAGCAGCTGAAGGAAAAATTATCTGGAATTATATGCTACTTTGACTGCATTTAAATTGGTGGAATTATGCTTCAGGTTGAAAACTAGTTAAAGACTTAAATTCATTTTAATGAGGCTATGGATTAGAATTAAAATTGAAAAGCTGCTCGTTCGGAGTCCAGTTTCTTATCTGAGTTGGCAAACCACTGGAATAATGAAACACATTGGGATATGTTGCTTTTTTTTGTGCAACAGGCTGTATATTGCAACAATTTGAATAGCTGAATTAAGATGCTGTTAACTGGAGACAAGTCCTGCCTACAGGGTTGTACTCTGAAGTGGCATTTTTAGGTTACTGTATCGGCCCTAAGCAGTAGATACAAGTCCTTCTGTCAGCAGATGGCAACAATGGGGAACAGTCGGAAGAAAAGCAGCAACTTTTCCCAGCTCTTAGGAAGTGTCTCTCTGAACAGAGTCTGAGATTATTGGGGTTTTTGTTGTTGTTTGTTTCTTTCACTGCAGTTCTGATTTCTCTCTCTTCTCTCACCTGCTTTACATCCTTGGCTTTATTCCCCCCCACCCCAAGTAGATGCCATCCTGTGGCACATCAGTGAAAGTAAAATCTGGGTTTTTTTCTTAATAACAGATTGGGAGAGAGCTTTTTCTGTCTTTATTTGTTCTGTATTTCAGGCTCTCAGTGCCCAGGTAATTCGGGTGCCTGCTGTTTTTGTAGTTTGGAAATGACCCACAGAAAATATCTTGCAGTTTTAAGTGAGCTATTTCCTCTTCCTGGTGAGATAGAACCCCAGCTGAACATACTCTCTCCCTTCAAACCATTCAGTTGTATGGCCAACATTTATAATCACTTGTCTGAGTCATCCTCTTTTAATTTGCTCCTCCTTCCTGTCATTAGCCAAGAAATGAGTCCATTAGTTGTATCTTTTTTTTTTTTTTTTTTTTTTTTCAAGCATTCTGGCTTAAAAGTCTCCTCTGGAGGAAGCTTTTTGCAAGTCAGGCTGCTCAGCTGGGTGGGAGCTGCTGGATTTCCTCAGTTTCTGATTTTGCTAGGAGGTGGCTTGGCCCCTACAGGTGACAAAGCACAGAGCTTTTGGTTCTCCCAGACTTCACGGGCAGAACAGCACAGATTCTTCTGCTTTTTGCTGTGTGGAAATAAATTCTACCAGAGTCAGGTTCTCTCATAGTTTCTGGAGGCCAGCTCTCCTCTGAGAAGCTTCCTGTGAGTGATGAGACGCTTTCATCCGATGGGAGAAGAGGGCAGGGCATTTTATTCTGTACACTTCCTCTCTGCAGTGGTCAGGTCTGGCTGCCTGGAGATGTGTGGAACAATGCCCATCCTCCATCGAGATAAAACTTGTTGGAGAAGTAGGAGAAAAGGCTGCAGTGATTTCATGCCTTTGTGCAGATGCTCAAAGGGCTGAAAACCAAGGAATTTGGGTTGAGGGGTGGAAACTATAACTTTCACAGGTCAGGTTCCTTTAAGAGCTTTCAGTCCAAAAGATATTTAGCTGGAGGTGATGGGAAAACCACTTTCAAAGCACCCCAAAGGTGTTCCCAGCCACCTGGTGCAATTCAGGAGGTGCTCAGTGGAAGCTGTGGCTCTGTGTTGCTTTTGCAGTGGTGTCTCATTGTTTGACTGTGTGTTAAATGCATGTGTAGGAGCAGTTACTGCTGCTCTCTCCTAAAATAATTGGTTACTACAATAGGTAAAGTGGAGTGGTAAAGGTCGGGGGAGGTTGTGCTCCTGATAATGGAAGGATTTTGGAGGGACACAGAATATTTCAGTTCTTCTTGAGAAAATGTGCATTTTAATGGGCAAGAAAAATTTGGAGATCCTCTCCTTCAGTATCCTGATACAATGTACAGTAAGAAATAAAGAAAACTTAAGGGGAGAAACTTTTCTTTACATTGATTTCATCCCAGAGGGCTTTTATGCAGACATCCCCATAAATTTTTTGGAGCAGTGTCCTTTAGCCTGTTCCAAAAACAGCCACTTCAGAGACAGAATGCTTTAACAGTTTACTAATATCTATCATTCCCGTTTTAAAGCCAAATACTGAAACTTAGAGTGACCTTTACCCATAAAAAAGTGTCAAGGATTAAAAGACGGGGTTTGTTGCTGCTACTTTTTGTGTCACTGCCAAGTCATACCAACCTTCTGGCAATTTAGGAGCCCTTTGCTTCCCTCTTTTCTTAGAGAACAGTGCCCTTATTTTACGTCAAGGCTACAGATTTACTTGTAACTTACTCTTTCCCTACAGATGCAAGTGGTGACAGAGTTAAAAACTGAACAAGATCCCAACTGCTCTGAAACTGATGCAGAAGGGGTGAGTCCTGCCCCTGTAGAATCTCAAACTCCAATGGATGCAGACAAGCAGGCCATTTACAGGTAGTAATGGACTCGTGTTCTGTCTTTTGAAGGGTAAAGAATAGAGGATTTTTTTTTTTTAACAAATAATAATAACTAGCTTAAAATCAGATGATCTCTTGGCTGACTGTCTCCATGGTTTGCAGGGGAAAAAAAAAAATGAGATCAAATTAGCCTCCCTGTCAGTCATCAGCCAAGAAAATAACTTCCCTAGATAGCAGGATTCTTTAATTTCAGTAGTTTTAATGGATGTTCTAATGGATATTTAGCAAGCTACCTTAGACTGTCAAACTGTGGTCACTATTTGTTATACTGTAGTTTTTATCTTTAATGCAAGTTTTTATTTTTATTGTAATTAGGGTGATCTTTGTTCCTTTTTTTTTTTAGCAATAACAATCTATTGCCCAGTAATTAGCTCAAAAGGGATTAAATATTGATGTACAAACACACTAATTTGAGATTTTTCAGTGTTAAGTGCTGTGCTAAGCAGGTTGCTCAGTTTTGATGAGATTAAATGTTGTTTCACTTTAACCATTTTATAAAGGCAGAATTATTACTGGTTTTCAGGTTAAAAAAGAAAAGGGAAAAAATGAACAAACAAACTACCAAAAAAGCCAACCTGAAGCTGAAAGATGTATTCACTCATTTACAGACTTGTGCTAACAAAATCATCATCTCCTCAGAGCATGATTTCATAGGAGGCCTCTGAGTACAGCCTGGATACTATTTTCAAGTCTTTCAAGTTATTTTGTGATGTATAAATATGGCCCACATTAAAGAATAAATGAATTTTGTCAGACTTCATTTAAATCTGCATTCATCCTGTTTGTAAATCCTAGTTGTCATTTCTCTTGCACTGTATTAATGTATCCCTTATTCAGTTACAGTGAATTAAACAGTATGTCAGAGCTTTTGTGACTGTTCTCTTTATTTAAATTTATTTAAATATATACCTATTTCAGTGCTGTATTTGCCTCTAGAGAGTGATAAATCAAAATGAAAATAAACCTCTATCATATTTTGCACTAGTGGTTCTAAATGCAGTCTCTTCCAAGGCTTGTCACACTTGCATGAGTGACTGTGACCTCATCTGAGCTAGATGTCCTAATTTTCAGTGGTGTACACGTAAGTGAAAATACTTATTCATATATTTAAACTTTTTTTTTCTAGGCACCCACTATTTCCCTTGTTAGCACTATTATTTGAAAAATGTGAACAATCTACACAAGGCTCAGAAGGCACAACTTCTGCTAGTTTTGATGTAGATATTGAAAACTTCGTAAGGAAGCAGGAGAAAGAAGGAAAACCTTTTTTCTGTGAAGACCCAGAAACCGATAATTTGGTGAGTATAAGCTGCTTGTTTTATTTCTGAAACAGTCATCACATTTGCATCTTTTTCCTAATTCCTGATCTCCTTGCATTTTTCTTCCTGTGAGAGATTCTTATTTATGTTAATGCAGAGAAGCATTTTTTTAAGTTTGTTCTGACCCCTTTTTTTCTCTCTTATCTGTAAATTTACATTGGGCCCTTCCCAGTTGTTCCCTATTCTCAGCTGGCTGAGATCAGTGTGTTGGAGACAAACAGAAACATGTCTTTGCCACAGCCAGGTTGACTCTGCATATCAGTTTTAGAGTGTATAACATATATAAAAAATATATGTTATATAAAATATATAAAATATAAAATAACAGGTAATCAATGTAAATTTTTTTGCAGCTGTTTTTTTACTCAGGGTTCATCTAATTAATGTGGGAGAAGAGCTCTTATAAGATGAGCTTAGAAACTCTTTACCATATACAAATTATTTCTCACATGCCACTGACTCCTTTAGGCTTTCTGAAAGTCCTTCCTGTGAGGGATCTGTGATTTCCCCTCTTTTGGATATACTTGCCTTCAATATTTTAGTCAGAAATGAGAGTTAGTTCTGTTCTGCATGGAGCAGGTCTGCTGCCTTGCTAAGCCTCAGGTTATTTGCTTCATTTGTAACTCTGGATTCAATACAAATATACTCTCTAATCCCAGTTTCTTTTCAGAAGCACAGGTGAAATCTAGTAGGTGGAAGGTAGTAGCTTGGGCTCAGTGGATGAGGAGAGAGCAGTGGATGTGGTTGATCTTGAATTTTGGTGTCTCTTACAATGTCCTCGTAGACAAACTGATAAATATGGACTAGATAAATGAGGAGTGAGGTGGACTGAAAACCGGGTGAACCGCTGGGCTCAGAGGATTGCAGTCAGCAGCATGAAAGGCAGTTGAGGGCAAACTGTGAGTGATGTATTCTAGGGGTTGATACTGGAACCAGAACTGTTTAACAACATCATTAATGACCTGGATGATGGGGCAGAGTGTACCCTGAGCAAATCTGGAGATGTAGCAAAACTGGGAGGAGTGGCTGGTGCACAGGTGGCTCTGCCACCATTGAGAGGTACTTTGTTGGCTTTGGAGAAGTAGGCAAACAGGAATCTCGTGGAGTTCCACAAAGGGAAATGCCAAGTCCTCTACCTAGGGAGCAATAATTACCCCTCCACTGGTACACCCTGGGGGCCAACCAGCTGGAAAGCAGCTTTATGGGAAGGAATCTGACAGTCCTGGTGGACACCCAGCCAAGTGGGAGGCAGCAGTGCATCCTTGCAGCAAAGAAATTCAACATATGCTGTGTTAGGAAGAGCACTGTCAGCAGGTCGAGAGACGTGATCCTTTTCCTTCTGCTTGGCACTGGTGGGACACTTCTGGAGTGCTGGGTACAGTTATGGGCTCCTCACCTCTAGGCATGGACACACTGGAGTCAGTCCATCAGAGGGCCAAAAAGATAATTAGGGGATGAAATCATCTCTCATCAGCAAGCTGGGGCTGTAGCAGTGAAGGTTTAGGGGGATCATATCAATGTATCTAAATACCTAATAGGGGAGGAAAGAAGACAGACCTGACTCGTCTCAGTGATGCCCAGTGAAAGGACAAGAAGAAATGGACCTAAACTGAAACACATGGAAGTTCCATTAAAACCTTTTTACTGCAAGGTGGATTGAATAGTACAGGTTGCCCGGGGAGGTTGTGAAGTCTCCATGTGGGGATAGTCAAACCTCAGCGTGGCCCTGAGGAACCTGCCCTAGGTGACCTTGCTTTGAGTGGGAGTTTTGGATTAAACAGTCTCCAGAGGTCCCTTCCAACCAGCTGTTCTCTGGTTTCTGTGAGCCTCCAAATATTGGTTTCCCAAAGATCCTGCGTGCCTTGGCCTGTTTCCTGTGTGCTTTTGGTCATACACAAACATTCTCTCAGGTCTGTGTTAACTCTGGTTGTAGACGGGTCTGCTGTGTTCAAACAGTCCTTCCTGTCAGTTGTTTGTGGTTTTGGTGGCGACAAAGTCTCTTGTTTTATGTGGTTTTCACCTCTGTTGATGGGCTGCACAAATCTGGCTGGTTTTGCTTGAGGTGGATGAGGAAACATTTATGTCTTGGATCCCGTGGCTCCTGAGGTCAGTACTGTCTTAAACTGGAACCATGGTGCAAAATCAAAAATCTTTGGCGTTGAACTCATGTCCTGTGGTCGTTTTGTTAGCTATGACTTTCTGTTACTAGATGCCAAATGAAATCTGAGTGCAGCTTGTCCTCTGCCCTTCCTGGAGTCTGGGAACTCTGAACAGCTGACATTCTGTCATGCTGATCATTTTGTCTGGGGCAATGAGTAGAAGAGTTTCTGTCGAGTAGTGAACTGGCTAGTATGGTTTTGAGTCTCTTCTTCAGCTTGAAATATTGGTGCTTGCACAGAGAAGGCTGCAGATGGGCAGTTTTTTCTGCCTTGTGTCAAATAAATATATACATTTTTACACAGATTAAAAATGTCTTTCTTCTGTAGAGAGGGCCTCTGTTGTGAACTTTTGTTACATCTTGTGTTGTTCTGTCCTTCCCTTTTTAACTCCCAGCGTTAATTCAACTGTTCACTTGAAAGGAGAAGCTGTTGGGGCTGTTAATTAGAACGGGCTAGAAGGGTGGAGCAGGTAGGGAATCAAGAGAGTCAAACAAATCAGGTGTAAATGCTTGCAATCGTTCAGCTTGGAGTCAGAGCTAAACTGAGATAAACTGAGTATCACAGTACTCTAAGGAGCCAAATTCAAGTCTTGTCTGCAGAGTCACAGTAAGGAAATTGGCCACTAATTCAGCTGGTTTGGTTTGATGTAAAACTCAACTGCACTTCACGTTTTTTGTGATGGAACTTTAAACTGGTGGCTCCAAACCAGCAGAATATAATTTCATTCTCTGTGCTGCCTGCTGGCTAATTAACCAGATGACAGAAATTATGAAAGGTCACAGATGATGATTGTAGGGGTCACTTACAGTCCTGGCAACGTTCCACATTGTGCTCTCTCTTGCATATTCCAAAGGAAGAGCTTGGTTTTCATCCAAAGGAATGTTAACCTGGGTGGTGCAGGCATTGGATCAGTGTGACCAGAAAGGAAGTTCATTAAGAGCAGTGTGTGGTTGTTCCAACTTGAGTAGCTCTAAAGATACAGTCTAGATTACCTCATTACTTGGGTATTATGGTTCCCATTCTGAATTAATTGGTGGTTTCCTGCATTATTAGTATAAAGGATTTCAGCACTGGGAAATACAGGTAGCATCCACCTGAAACTTAATTTTAAGGACACCCATATATTGTTAAGCCTGGCCTGTAAACCAGGTTTCAAACTTTTATTATCTAGAGGGAGGGATTCTGTTCCTTCCAGTTAAACGCTCCAACAGCATAAATGGATGATCTTGAAGCAGCAAGGCAAAGGGTTGTGGTCAACCCAGAAATAGTGTTACCAGGCCTCTTATTCTGCAGTGTCTTTCCCAAGTCTGACTTTGTCAGGCACATGGTCAAAGCAGGGTTTTTGCAGTGAAATGGATAAGAACATTTCTGTAACTGTTGGCTTCTGGGTGGGTCAGAACTTTGGTATTAGGCTTCAGCATATTTAAGAGAGTGAGAATTTCTCAGAAGAAATTACAAGAATTTGAAAAGATGTGGAAAAAGTTACACTTTCTTGTGGAAGGTGTTTTCCACTTAAATGGTTTTTTAGGGTACTCCCTGAGATGACATGGATTAAGTTTATTTTTTATTTGGATTAAGTTTATTTTTTTATTTGGTTTATTGCTGTGTTCCTGTTTTTTTTTTCTCTATTTGCATTCATGTAATAGGGTCAGCAATGGTTTGTGTTTGAACCCTGCAGCACTAAAAAAAAAAACCCACAAAATTGTGCTGTGGCTTCCCTGAAGTGTGAAGTTTCAGTTGTTGTCTCTTCCTGCATCTGAGAGGTGTCTAAGATGCCTCTTTTCTTTCCAAGGAAGAGCATATAGCAGGAAAATGCAAAGTTCAGTTCTGAGATCTGTTGAAAGAAAACTGAGAAGCTTCATTCCTGCTCCTGGACAGTTTTTATCAGCTTGCTCTGAGATGTAGGAAGTCTTGACGTTCTAGGTATGTGTGTATTTTTAATGCAGATTCACCTCGCAGAACTCCCCCTGATTTCCAGTCCATCCCTAATAAATACACAAAGGAAGTGGCTTTTCTGTGGTAGCTACATTTGCTCTTCAAGAACTGTTGGCTGCAAACAGGAATTTGAAACTTTTCCCTTCTGACTCCACTGACTGACCACACGGGTTTAGATTATTCAGAGAGGTAAAAGGGAGCTGCAAGTTCATGTTCTGGGGTGTTTTTGCAGTAAGTGTTTAGCTCTTTTAGATGTGCATGGCACAGCATATTACTTGAACCAGAACTGTCCTCTATCTTGGAATGTCCTCTGCAGGTTTCTTCCAGTTTTCAATGATTTTGTTCTCTTTTCTGAGCCTTGGTCACTTGTTGTGTCCCTGTTGATGTTCTCTGAACTTGATTAAGGTGCTGATCAGCTGCAAGAAGTGCAGCTTTAGAGGGGACCTCATCAATAAGTGTCTGCAGGGAGGGAGCAGAGGATGGACCAGGCTCTGCTCGGGGGGGCCCAGCAATGGCACAAGAGGAACGGGCAGGAACTGATGCCCAGCAAGTTCCACCTGCACATGGAGGAAGAACTTCTTTGCTGGGCAGTGACCCAGCACTGAACAGATCACCCAGAGAGGGTGTGGAGTCTCCCTCACTGGGGATATTCCAGAACCCTCTGGACACAATCCTCTGGGATGGCCCTGCTGGAGCAGGGAGATTGGACCAGATGACCCCACTGTGGTCCCTTCTAACCTGACCCATCCTGTGCTGCAGACCTTCCCTTTTCAAATCCTAGTCCCTGTGGGAACGAAGTTGAAGCTGAAGGCTGTGCTCATGTTCTTCTTACTAGACTGGAAGTGTGCTTTCTTTTCTAAGCTTTAACTGCCTCCTTATGTTTCTTGGATTGCTATTTGCATCCACCTTAGTACTTATGTAAAGCATCAGTATCAGATGTGTGTTTGCAGCAAAATCTGCTCTGTATCACTAGCCAGAGGTTTCCAAGTGCACATTCTTCTTTCTGGAAATTCTCAGCTTCCAGCTCAGTGTCCTCATTACATCTGTTGGAGCTTCATACCCTTCACCCCTTACCCTTTGCCATCTCTACCTCATTTTCACAGATAAAACGGATCTTGGAATCAACCAATGCTCTAAACTGCTCTTTTTTTTCTCTGTTTGTATCCTTTTGTGCTTAGGACTTAGACAGGGAGGAACCTGACTGTCTGAGAGGTTTTTCAGCATGAGTGTTTGCGGATAATTTTTAGAGCTATCACAGATTGCATATTTTAAGACTTTCATTACTAAAAGCTTTTTGTGTTTTTTTTTGCTCAGTGTTAACCCAGATGCTGCATAAATATCACGTTGCTTCTGGGTGGTTCCTACCTCTTGAGTGACTTCTGTTCAGAGTAAACTCTCCCCCCATGTGGGTGACTTTAAATTACCCCACATTCACAGGACCCTGGGATGGTTCAGGTTGGACAACAAGCTCATCAAGAGGTCTGTAGTCCAACCCCCTGCACAAAGTAGGGTCAGCTGTTAAGTCAGAGCAGGTTACTTAAGGCTTTGTCAAGTCTAGAAGCAGAACAAAACAAGGAGTGTTAAACATGCTCTCACTTTTGTATTTGAACAGGACACTCACTGAGTTTTTTGAAGACCCCTCAAGTTTTTTGTTTCGTTCGGGGTAAGGATTTTTGGTTCAGTACCCTCTTCTCTAAGACTGTCCTCTATTGAATTCTTAGCTGTGTCAGGGTAAGTTGTAGTGGTGAAGCCAGCTGATGTAATTTGAATATTCTTGGCTGAACAAGTCACACATTTCTGACAAGTTTTCGTACTATTTTAATGTGCAGAACTGTCTCATAAACCTGTAGTGATACCTTTCTAGCTGTGTCTGGTAGCTGAGAACTCAAAATAGGGGAAAGAGGTTTTTCAAATCAAAACAAATGGAAACAAAATACCTCCTCTCCCAGAGTTTGTGTTCTTCCCCTGAAGACCTAAATCACCCCAGGAGAGTTCGGGTCAGGGAGGTAGGTGAGCTCTGAATGAATTTTAATTGTTTAGGTTTTTTTTGCGAATGGAGAGAGTTATTTGAGCGAGAAGATTATGTGTCAGTGTATGGAGATTCTTTCATGTATGTTGTCTGAAATTATAGACCATGTTTATTTCTACAGCTGAAAAAACTGAATCAGTTGGCATATAAAAATCCTTTGTCCTGTGGCATATTCCATCCAGGAGCACTAAAAACCGAAAAACATGGTTGTAGATTTTGAAGTTGTGTGTTTTAAGAATACAAGAATGAACTATTACTGCTGTTGTGGCCTGTCTAAAAACATTTCTTTGTATTAATTTTCTTCAGCATGGGTGATTTTATGAGGAGTTCTTGATTTTATTGTTTTTTGGGTTTTTGTTTGGTTGGGGTTTTTTGTTTGTTTTTGTTTTTAGTTTCAAGGAAAAGGTGAACTTCTGCTGACATGGAACTTTGGTCCACCCATGCTGCAAGAGAGCAGGAGCCATATGGCCACAATTAGTGTAGTTGTAAATTAATTAATAAGTCCTGGTGACAGGCATGGCGTATTTACAAAGTTTTGTTTGCCTTCTAGCACAGCTTCCTGCAAGAGTAGTGTGACAGTGACAGTCTCTGGAGAGACCTGGATAGTGTTACTTGATTTATGGTTAATTCTGACTTTAATTCAATTTTCACTTCAGGTATTGACCATCAATTTGAAACTAAATCTAAGCTGAAGAAAGGACTTTTATTTTTCCTCCTGTGAGAAAAATCCAAATACATGCTGATAAATAAATAATACAAATAGGGCTAATATTTTAAGGAAAAAAAACCCTCTTGACGAAGCAAAACTAATCCCTAATATAGTTAAATATTATGTGTCCAAAGGCATATTTTTGCTACCTCAGTTTTAGCTGAATGTTTAAAGCACTCACTGACATACATGCAGTGTCTTGATTTGCAGAATACAAAGAATTTTCTCGTTTAAGCTTTTTTTTGTCTCTGAAACAGGGTATGTTTAGACATGGAGGACCTTTGTTTTGCGTTAAAGTCTAGTTAAATTTGCATGGTTTAACTTTGTTGTGTTTGAAGGTACTTAAACACAGTTTAAACAGCAGCCTGGGCTGGTGTAGAAGATCAGTGTTTTACGCCTCAGCGCTGGGTCATTGCACTTATTATTTCAAAGGCTTTTGGTGTCATAGGTCCAAAGAGTTACCAGATACTAATTTGGATCCACTGCCTCACATCTACAGCTTTGAAAGATACATGTAACTTTTTCTTTTCTTTTTAGCCCTGAGAAGAAATAAGGTTTTCTTCCCTATTTTTTTTCTTCTTTAACTTTTTTCCCTCTTTTTTATTAACATACAATTTTCTACACTGGGTGAGTGTCCTACAACTGGAATACCTTCTGCTGGAAAAACAGGGAGAAGATCTGTGACAATGAAAGCTAAATTGTCATGGTGGAGAGGGGAGCACATCCAAAAGCTTTCCTGCCTTGGTCTCCTCCAGGTGCTTTGAAAAAAAGGCAACTTCACCTCCCAGTTGGCTTCTTGAGTTAGAAGTAATAAGGTGGATTAGTTCATAAGGCATCATTTCTGGTCACTGGATTCAGTGCTCTGGCCAGGGAAATGACCCTTCATATAGGAGGAGTTTTTCCAAATAATTATAAAATCAAGCTCTGCACTTTGCCTGAAAAATATAATTACTCAGTTTCATAAAACCAAAGGGTATTTCTCTTGGAGATTTAACATAGCACATAAATGTTGGGGGTGGCATGCTGTGTGAAAAATAATTATTTTGCTAGTGTGTTGTGTACATATTTGAATGCCCTGGATTTCTTACTGCTTCATGAAAATTTAGACCATCTGGGTTTGGTTTTAGCTTTTGATCTTCTGCCATGACCCTTACAATCACCTCAGCTATTTTTATGCAGTATGTAATGCCACTGGTTATCCAGGCTTACAAGTCTTTTTTCTTACAGTAAGCATGATAAGTCTTCTCACCACGTACATATCTCCTGCACTTTGATTTTTGTTTAAACGTGTCGGGTTTTTATTGAGCTTAGTGCTTTTTATTTGATGGTTTCTATTTCATTGAGCTTAGTGCTTTTTATTTGATGGTTTATATTTCAGAACCAGTCTCCTCACCTGAAAGTTCTTAGAAGGTTTTTACCTGAGAGTTGTTCATCTTTGACATACACTCGCAGAGGAACTTAAATAAAAGCTGTAGGACTGAGAAACTGTTTGATTACTTTAAGCTTTGTTGAGCAATGTGACAAAGCTTGGGACCTCTTTATTCTAATTTAATTGAAAGATAAAAGCTGTTGTGTTATGGTTATGGGTGAGATGACAGGCCACTTCCTGTACTTCCACCCTCCCCAGCAGTCTGGGGGACAAATTTATGATGAAATCACAGGAGGGTCTTCTCAGTGTGTCTCAAACTCACCTGTACACTTTTGGTTTCCTCGGGTCAGGGTGTAACGTGGAGCTGGAGCTGATATCTCTGATTTATAGAGCTCAGGACAACTGCTGGTGGCCAAGCCTGTCCCAGCCTCGCTTTCCAAATAACACGTGTGGGTGGGATTACTTTCCTTCACTTTCAGTCTTGCGTGGTTTGTGGCACAGAGTTGTTCGATGGGGTTAAAGATCATCCCGTGCCCTGTGACACCTTCACTGTGCTCTGTCTTCCTAATGTGCCACATGTGACAAAGATCACGTTGCTGGCCTGCTCTGCTCCCCCTGTGTGGTAGCTGGCTTATGTTCCTTTCACCTTTCAGGCCTTAGCAATTAGTAATTCTGCTTTAATTGGGTGATCTCTGGTACTGGAAAGTAGCGTTTTGCTTACATCTCGCATCAAATATTTTTTTGACTTAACAGTTATTTTGGTTTTGAACATTTTTTCCCCCCGATTCCTCTCCCTTAGATGGTAAAAGCAATCCAAGTTCTTCGTATCCATCTGCTCGAGCTAGAAAAGGTTAATGAGCTCTGCAAGGATTTCTGTAGTCGCTACATTGCCTGCCTGAAGACAAAAATGAACAGTGAAACTCTATTAAGTGGAGAGCCTGGCAGTCCTTATTCACCTGTGCAATCTCAGGTATGTTCCAAATACATCTGAGTGTGTTTTTGCTTAGATTTCCTTAGGAACTTAGAGATGCACTTCTCTTGCTATTAGTTTGCTAACAGAGTTTCTGCAATTTCCTTTACTTTCTCAAATCAGTTACTAAGAGTAGGAAGAGCTATTTTATTATTTTTTTGTGTGTGTGCACTGCTTGATGGACAAATTTGTTTAAATATGCCAGAACATGGGCTCAGTTTTTTATTGTCTGTCTTGCTTTTATGATTTTCCCCCAGTTCAGCAAGTGTAAACACTCAGAATAGCCTGGATTTGCTGTTTTGTTGGAAGGAGGGTAGGAAACAGAGTAAACAAAGGAGAAGAAAAAAATGTCCGTATTAAGAAGGTCTCCTCAGTCTAATTTGCTTCATTGAAATACTGAGGTGACTGATACACTTTATACACAGTCTGGAACAAATAGACAATGTCTGATGGATTGTAGTTGCAATATTTGATATGTCTGTCATTGCATGTTACCTCAGGTAAATGTGTAATTATGGAAAGGCCAACAACCAGTTGCATTTTTTGTAGTAAATTGGTAACAATTAACAACAGTTTGTACGTTATGGTTGACATTTTTGCTGTTAAATGCTGCAAAGTGAGCCCTGACACCCAAGCACCTACAAGATAATGAGCCTTGAAGGATGGCCCTTCTCTGAATTACTCACATGTCTGATGCTCTGTATTCAAAAAAGCCTCAGTGACTTTTAAACTCCACCTTCTGGACTCCTTACTTAGGTTTCAGTGTGGAAAGGAGATTCTAAAATCAGACAAAAAAAAAACCTTTTAAAGGTGTTTTTGTACATCCCCTACGTTTTACATTTGCTATGGAAAGAAATTATTCATACATATTAAGGAATGTGTAAGAGTTTGCCTGGTCAGGGTTGAATAAGAACTATACTGAGCAGAATAAAACATACTGGGCATCTTGAATACTTAATAACTTTGAAATTGATGGAATTAAGGTAATAACTAAAATTCTAAAGCTTTGATGCTTGTAATCAGAGCATCAAGGGTCATTTCATCTGTCCTTTTTCCCTTGTGCTTTTTGGAAACTGTTTCTCTTGCTATTTATATACCTAGAACTAGAATTTCTAAAGGCAGTTTTACATCTAACAGTTGCTTTCATGAGGGTTTTCAAAGGTAATGGTTGGTGATAATGAGGAAGTTAATGTAGCTAATGATGAACCTCTAATGAAGTCTCCCTTTGAAGGTAGTCCTGTGATTAAGTTCCAAATGTGTTTTAGAACCAAAAATGCATAATACAAAATACAAAAATACACAAACATGGTTTATCTCCTTACAAACAAACAAAAAAAAAGTTTTTAAAAAATCCAAGCAACTAACTGCTTTATTTTTTCCTAGCAAATTCCAAGTGCCATTGCAGGCACACTCAGTCCCCAAGGGATTATGGTGCCAGCATCAGCATTGCAGCAGGGAAATGTAACTATGGCAACAGTAGCAGGTATGACAAAGTAAAAACAACTGGCACCTTGCTTTTCATGTTGGTTTCTTTAGTAGTTGTTACAAAAAATACACAAAGACTTTAAAAAATGTGTTCTAATACCTGAAAAGTTGTTATAATACAATCAGGTGCTTTACTGTTTTATGAAGGTTTTAATTTTTTGTATACCAAGTATGACTATGTGAGTGACAGTTAAATGTATATAATATTGAGATCTTCCTGTACAACACTACAAAGAGATTTTAGAGACCTTTTTCCCCTTTAAAAAGAATTCTATTCGACAAAAAACAGGCATTACCTAAAAACATTGCACTTGTTGGCTGCCTCATGCTCCCTGGAGTTGGGAACCACACCTACAAGTCTGTGTCCTGGTTGTCCTGCTATTGTAGAAATTAGATTTTAACTGAAACATTTTATCTTCCTTCTAAGCAGGGTTTGAAAACAAACCCAGCTGCCTGCCCTAACCACTGCACTCACGTAGGTGTGGTTTTGGTGTTGAGACCCTTTCTGAAGACTTAAAACAATTAACTTTTTTTATAGCCTGATAATCGTGGCATTTTCGCTTGAAAACAGATTTGGGATGCCTAAAATGCAGGGAAATATAATAAAATTTCGTACAGTCTTCTGTGGATGGGAGAAAGTTTCAGTGTAGCAAAGAGCACATCTTGCGTGCTTACTAGCAAAAAAATTAGTAAATATATTATCAAAACTCTTGTGTTGCCTGCAGTGCTGATGTCTTTATGTGTTTAAAGAGAATAATGCTTGAAGGGCTGTCACTCACCTGCAATCTGTGCTGCTGTTTTGCCTTAAGGGGGGACAGTGTATCAGCCAGTCACGGTGGTCACTCCACAAGGCCAGGTGGTGACACAGGCGCTGTCACCTGGGACTATTCGGATCCAGAACTCTCAGGTTTGTTTCGTGGGCTTCCCAGAGTAGTTATTCTGGGTTCAGGTAAATCTCGGCGGTTTTAAGGGGTTGGGTTTAAATTTGGCAGACTGTCAGAACGAGCTCTGTGTACTCACACGTAGTAACTCGTGTAAAATTAGTGCAAGCACTGCTGTAGGAGTTCCAGGTTGTATAACGTGGCATAATCTGCAGATCCCAGACAGAGCTGCCTTGCCACATCGTAGTTCCTACCTGTTAAATGTCTTTTTTGATGATGGCAGAAGAGTATAGGTACATGGAAATAAGAATAAAAAAGGAAAACAAACAAACAAAAAAATAAACAAAAAACACCCCCAAAACAAAAACAAACCAAAAAAAAACCACTCCTAACCTCCTTCCCAAGAAAAAACTCCTAACCTCCTTCCCAAGAAAAAACCCAAAACACAACCCTCTAAAACAAAAAACCCTTTGAATTAGACATATCTTCAATTTGTATAACTTTTTAATTGTTGAATGAGGTTTATGGCTGGATGGATTTACTGGATTGCATTATGGTGCCACACTGCTGTTTTGAAAAATCTGACTTTTTTTCTTGTGATGGCAACCACTACTACTGTGGAACTGTATGTACTTCAGAGTTTGTCTATTTTGGGAAGCATTTTTTGATGTAAAACCTTCAAGATACTCAGTTGAGGCTATGGGAGATCCTCCCATTTGGCTCACTGTGTCATACCCTATAAGATAAGGGCCAGCACTCTTCTGGGGGAGGCTCCTGAGAGCTGGATCTGGAGAGTTCAAAGGAACAACCAAGGAAAAGGAAACATGAAGGCTAGACCATCTTTAGCTGCAGAAAACCTTGCTAGCTTTCTCTTGGAGCTGGAAGTGGTAAATCAAATCTTCCAGGAATCTGGAGTCAATTAAAAATGTGAATGAGGAGCTACCATCTCCACAGAATCTGTTGGTAATCACTGACTCACTGGCTTCTTTTCTTCCTTATTTTGACTTTTCAACCAGAAAAAGCATGCACAGAATGTTCTTTTATTTGGCAGGAGCATATATGTACTTGCCTAGAACACATACAGTTCTGGCTTCAGGCACCTTGCAGAAACAAATGTGTAAAATTACTCTCCTATACTGAAGTGTTTTTGAAGAAAAATGTTTTTTATACCTCTTACGGCAAAAAGAAATAAATACTGAGTGGAAAATAATGCCTATAGTCTATAAACAAACAAAAAAAAAGGACTTGACCTTCTATACGCATCTGTGGCTACTCTTGGTGTTAGTAGGAATCTCCAGTCCCACCTGTGTGTAGGTTTGGACCTGGATTCCATAAAAAAAATCCTTTTTCAGTTTCTTCTTTTTGAGTGTTTCACAATGCTGTGGGGGTAAGGAAAACTGCTGGTGGAGAGCTGTTGAAAGATCATTATAAAGCCTTCATAGACAAGCAGATTATTTGGAACGTAAAGCATTATTTTGGAGATAAAAGTGTGCTCCCAATATGTATTTCTTATAATTTGATAGCTTAAACCTTGTTTAAAACTGATTTCATACAGGGCACAGACATAATGGTTGGCTTAAGAAATTGCTCCAGTTTGTCTGTAAAACCTGATTTAGAACTATTTCAGTTATAATTGCCTGAATTAGAATCTTATATGATATTTTTAAGCTGTTTCTCCTTATCTCTGTGTAAGCATTTGAGAATGTATTCCTAAATGTTCAGATAACCAATGTGCAAATTATTTGCTGTATCCATAGAAAGTGAAAAACAAAGAGAAAGAAATACTTAGGAAGTAGTAAGTGTGTTGTAAAGTTCTAGCATATAGATCTTCTTGCTCTTGGAGAATCTAGACGCATTTTTTTAACAGGACCTTTGTCATCATTGTTTGCAACTCTAGCATAATAATTAATTTTACTTTACCCTTTGTTTAAGTCTCAAATCAGTAGCATTTTACAGCTTCCATAGTTGTTTATATTTGCACACAGTGAGTTTGTTCAAAATATGCAAGCCTAATTTCTTTTTGTTCAATAAATGAGTTGCTCATTCATTGACACAGAACTATTAATTACTGTGCTAACTGCCTTATTTCTTCTAAATTTGTATGTGCAGCTTCAGTTGCAATTAAACCAAGATCTAGGCATCTTGCATCAAGATGATGGCTCATCAAAAAATAAAAGAGGAGTTCTTCCCAAGCACGCTACAAATGTGATGAGATCTTGGCTTTTTCAGCACATAGGGGTAAGGACTGAGCATGGTCAGGAGACACAGTTTTTTATGTAACTCTTTTATGTGGTCTCTCACAACTTTGCTTCATAAAGAAGGTGAATTTATTCTCTTGTCCTTCGTGTAATCTCGGTTCAGTTTTCCCTGAAGTCATCTGGAGTAGTTCCACAGTCTAATGTCAGTTGATTTTATTATTATTTTAATATATTTTAATAAGGATGTTACATTAGTACTTCATGGTCTCAGTAAGCATCGTTAAAGGGAAGCTTTCTTCATTTCACTGTGCTGAGAACGCTCTCCACACCCTGATTCATGGCACAAGGAAAAATAATTCCATCTGTGTTTTGTGGTGTTTTGGGCATATTTTTGGTAGAGGAAAATTTCAAATTTTCTGGCTTTATCTCCTTTCCAGCAGTCCTAATGTGTACCAAGTGTGTTACTATCTACTTGTGCTTTCAACAGAACCTCTTTCCTTTTTCGTAAATGCTTACCTGGAAAGGATAAATGGGCCTCAAGTTACATTACAATGTTTAGTTGATGGATATTTTGTATTTTACAGCTATTTCACAGCAGAAAACTGATACAGGGAAACTGCGTGTGCGCCTCTCGTGTTACATACACTGACTTCATCTGTTTAGTTCAGAGCAGCTTTATTTAACTGGAAAGTGCTTGTCAGTGCTCTCATATGACATTGCCTTTAGACAGCATAACTAATCAGATGTTATCACATGCTGTGTTGCCCTGGGATCACGCTGCTTAGTAAAGACTGCCGGCCATGAGAAGCTTTTTCTTCTGGATTACTCATCAGTAGATTAATGGTGTCATAGACACTTTCAAGGATAAAATCAGTTTCGTGTAGTAAAGCGCCCCTTGTTAAATTATTTACATCTATAAAAGTTTGTGAGGTTTCTGAAGTCCGTGTTTTAATGAGTCAGATGGTCTTAATCCAGCAGCTTTAATCTGTTGTAATAAGGGAATTCTTATTTTTGATGAGGAGCAGCTTTAATCAGTAGTAATAAAGGAGTCCTTATTTTTGATGAGGAGATGAAACAAGCTTATGCCTTTTTTTTTTGTTTGTTTGCTTTTTTGGCCTCTTTAGCATCCGTACCCAACAGAGGATGAGAAGAAGCAGATTGCAGCACAAACAAATCTGACACTACTCCAGGTTAACAACTGGTAAGAGTGAAACCCTTATTTAATATGTCATTGTCTCCACGTGCTTACAACATAGAATTAGTCAAGAGTGTAAGCTGGATATCTGGAACTGAACTGGCTGTCCTACATATGCTACAAAACGTGTGTGGAAATACAAGAGTTGTGCACTGATACACAAATGTGTCATTTTTATAAGGTATAATAATACTCATGCCACTTAAATTATATAAGAACCCCAGAAAACATTGCAACACTAAGGAATTATGTTCTGTTCTATTGCTGAGAGAGATGGAAGGGCTCTCCTTTCTCTTCTGCAAGTAAAGAAATGGAAGATGAAAGGTGTTCAGTGACCTGAAGCTCTGAAAAGGTTGCAAAGTTACTGTCAACAGATATTGATTCTGGCCTTGCATCAAAGGATGCTCTTTTGAGCAGTGATGTCTGGAGAGTGGCAGCACCTCAGCTGCACTGGTTCGTGGTTCAGCATGTTTTAGCCTGTTTTATCTTCACTGGAGGTGTAAGATAAGACACCTGCCCCCCCAGAAGAGAGGAGGGAAAGTGCCAACACGCACCTATTCGGCCTGTGGGTTCAGTTCCTAAAATTACTGCAGCAAAGTCCAACAGGGATCTTCCTCAGGTTTCAAAGAGAACGCTGGCTGAGTGGCTGCAGAGGGGTCCAGTGGGGAAATACTTAAGATAGTGACAGAACACAGGTTCCAAAAGTGGAACAGTGTAACTCTGCCTGTGGGACATGTAGTCACGGAGCTCTGTGGCCTGGGATCCGACTGCTGTCTGTGAAGAGCATTTTATTACACCACATGGACCTGCCAGCTGCAACCAACCTCCTTCCATTGCAGGCAAAGGTGTGTGTCCTGGCTGTGTTTTGTCAGATTCAGGGATGATATCCTCAGTCCCAGCTCCTTGGCACAGCTCCCTGCATCGAAGTTGATTCAGTTAATTGCTGGTAGCTAATGAGATGTGGTTTTAAGTGTTTTCTTGTTCACTAGCAGGAAGGGGAAGGGCAGCAATTAACATGCTAAAGTAAACAAGGGAAAACCAGGGAACGAAAAGGAATTGGGAAAGATCCGAAAAATGTGTTTGCTGTTGTCTCTTGGATCAGAAGCCAGCCCTTGGAAAGCCAGGGAGCCTATAAAAAAAGTAATGCGGAAGCTCAAGGAAGTAAATGAAACCAGGCCAAACAAACTAGGTTAGGCAGGGGCTAGATTTTAGGTGGACCCTAATGAGAAGAGTATCAGCTTTCTGAGCTGTGCTTGTCAGCAAGTTTTCTGGTGCTTAGTTTTTAATAAGATCCTGAAGTGTACATCTGTTGTGCTGTCTGGAGGATTTTTCCTTCTGAGTTGGGGGGGGGGAAATGCTGTGAGCTGCAAAATGATAGAAGCACTTTCTTAGCTAGTTTGCCAAAATCAAAGGATATGGGTATTCTGAGAGCAGAAAAAAAGCTTTAAAAAAAAAAAAAAAGTGAAGCCCAGCTGATGGGGAGAAGATTTTATATTCCTGATTTTTTTCCTTTCCACTGCATGCTTTGTGCATGTGAGAGAGAATTCACAGCCAGCTGGTCACAAATTCTCCTTGTCCTCGATTGTGTTCAGGTTTATCAATGCTAGAAGGCGAATTCTTCAGCCCATGCTGGATTCCAGTTGTTCCGAAACTCCCAAAACGAAGAAGAAAACAGCTCAGAACCGGCCGGTCCAGAGGTTCTGGCCTGACTCCATCGCCTCAGGAGTTGCTCAGCAGCAATCCAGCGAACTCACGATGTCCGACGGTAAGGAGGGACCATGGATAGTCAAGTTAATTCCTTTGTAACAGGGAAATGAAGGGATTGGTGCCTTTTGGGGGGAGGGGAACCTCTTCATGTCTCAGTATAAACGTGGTTTTAATCTGGGAAAACACAACAGAAGCGTGTGATTTTTTTTCTCTTTATTGTCTGTGTTTTCAGAGGAATATTTTACTGGATTTTGTGCTGAGCGACTGTTGTTTTTGTCTCAAAAGTTATGAAGCAGCAGAACAAAAGCGAGATGTACAGCTCTGATGTACAGCTAAGGCCTCTCAGAACGTGTGTGCACGTCAGGAGTGTTCTCTTTGATGAGCACTACGGGGCTGCAGCTTCAGTGTCGTTGCTGAGCGTCTGCCATTCTGCATCTGCCTCATGTGTTTTGAGGTGAACAATGAGAGGCAGAGAGATGTAATAGAGTCTCCAAAGGCTCTGACTGAAGTAACTTCCTCAGCACCAGATCAAACAAAAATGCCTAATTTCAGAAGATAAATAACAGCTTTAATCTCAGGATCACCCTTTCTGTCCTGCTGCCTGGTCATTTGTTCCTTTTCAGTTTGCAGCAACTTTTCCCTCAGCCTGTGCTGGACCTGACAACAGCTTTGTCCATTTGAATCACCTTTAATCTCTATGAACACTCCCATTTTTCTGCAATGAATTAAGCAGGAATACTTTGCAGAAATGGTCTTGTGATAACTGGATTGGAGAATTGCTGCAGTGGGTGTCTGTAACACAGCTAAGTTTAAGATTCCTGACCAACTTAATCCTGGCATTTCCTGGTACTTGAGTGTTTGACGACCTATCTGGCTTTTCTTTTAATCTAGTTTCTTAGGTTTTCTTCCTGTTGATTGGAAAAAAAAAATCCCTGTTGTAAAAAATAAATATGTATTACTTAAAATTGGAAGGCAAGAAAGATGCTGAGTTACTGTGGTTGTGCTCCTGCAGGCGCCGTTGTCACCATTACAGCTCCAGTCAACATGAATGTAGACAGCCTCCAGTCTTTGTCATCTGATGGTGCTACTTTGGCTGTTCAGCAAGTCATGATGGCAGGGCAGAGCGAGGATGAGTCTGTAGACAGCGGGGAAGACGATGGAGGAGACCTCTCAACAACAAACATCAGCGGGCTGGTCTTGGATAACAGCGATTCTCTGCAGTAGGAAGCGAGAGAGTGTGACAAAACACTTAGGAAGAAAAAAAAATGGACTGACTGACTGACTTTTTATAGTTTGCACAGCAAACATTTTACACAAGTTTTATTTCTAATATGTTTTATATGTAGATATAGAAGGGTGCACTTTTTTGTATTTCATAGTAAGCTTAAAGAGTGTTTTTGCAGGTGCAGCAACTTCTTTCAAATGTGGTTGGTTTTTTTTTTCCCTTTTCTTTTTTCCTTTTTCTTATTTCAGAAAATTATTTCTAGTAATATAAAGAACCACGTAAGCACCCCTTTGTTCTATGAATTGGAAGTGCTGCAGTTTCTGATGAATTATGCAGTTTCAATTAGTGCTGTTATTTAACACAGCTTTGGATGGGCAGGTGATGTAAATTTAAAGCATGTGACACTAGTGTGTGAAACTTGATTATTAAGTTAGATGCATATATTTGAAAGATGCTTCTGCACCTTAAAAACTGCTAGTCTGAGGTGGACAGCAACACACATAAAAAGGAACTGTTGATGTGTGATTCAGTAGAGAATGTATGGCAATTTAAATAAGTTTAGTTTCTCTCATAGTCCGTGAGCCTGTTTATCATTTGCTATAAAAACTCCTATTTTTACCTTGCTGGGGTTATTGGATAAAAAAAAAAAATATTTTTATAAATTCACTAGAAATTGGGATGACGACTGTATTAAGCAGGAGGAGGAGAAAAAAAAAAATTTCCAGAGGGGAAAAATAAATGTTTAGTATTCCTATTTGGAAGGTCTGAAAACTGACCCAATTTAATAAACAAGCCTACAGTAGCATTCTATGATTCTCAGCTATCCCACGGTGATATACTATATTTGATAATAGCATAAGAAGGGCCCACTGTTTGATGGGATTTTGATATTGTCAAACATTGATTTATATTATGTGTAAACTAATATTCAAATTACATAACTCTGTATCTAGACTTGTATCTGAAAATATTTGCTAAATGACTATTCAGGTAAGTAAATTCAAATACCCACAACTTTTCCAGTTGCTAGAGGAACTTAACAGTTTATAGTTTGTACAACTGAATCTGAAAAAAAAAAAAATGAAAAGCTGCCTACTATACAGTCATGAATTGTGCTATTTTATTGCATTTGAAATATTTTCCCCTAATACGAAAAGAAATATAACTTATGGATTTATATAAAAGTTTCTTCAAATCTGAGGTTTACTACCAGAATATACAGCAGGCTTTATTAGAGTAGAAAATCCTTGTGTGTCATTTAAAAACGAAGAACTGTTGTGAAAACAGCTGGTTTTTTTGGTTTTCGGTTGTTTGTTTGGTTTTTTTTTTTTGTGGAAACAGTTCATTTCTTTTATTTTCCCAAAGTTTGAAGTCTGTGTCTGTCTATCCATGAACTTTCGGAACTTTTGTATTTCCCTTTGTCAAGTACAAATAACAGACTCCGGGAGCCTCATGGTGTGATCAACATCCCCTTTTTAATCCTGTTTGTCACAGTGTTGGGTTAGATCAGAACTTCCTTCTGGTTTAGAGCAGATCTAGTTGCGTTTCTGATGTGACAGGGGGAAAAAAAAAAAAAGGATGTTAGCTTTTAGACATTGTATTTGAACAAAGCCCTTGGACAGATGCAAATATTTAATTGAATACCTAATTTGTGCTTCACAGGACACTCAGGCGTGTGTGCTTCGGTCCCGTTGATTTCGGTAGGATTAACACACCTGCTCTTGGACGTGCTTGAATGGTTGGAAGGTGGTCACTGCAGATTCCAAAGCAGGTGTGAGTTGGTGTGGAGAAAAACTTATGGAAGAAATGTCAGTAGCATTGCCACGTGCACGTGGAAAATAATACTGGTTTTCAGTGGCTAGTAGCTGTTTAAAAGCAAAAAAAAAATTGGTGTTGGTTTTACTCAACACAGGTGATGTTTCTGCTGTGGCACTCACTTATTCCTGGCTGAGGATCTGTCCTTAGTTCAAGTGCTGTAGCCATCTGCTCCACTGGAGTGGTAATTCCTAAAGAACTTGTTTTCTTCTGACTTCTCTGCTTTGCCACCAATGTGCCATGTTTGTTAAACAGCAGGGTAAATGAATAATGAAAGGTTTAATTAGGAAGGTGTCGACATAGCATAACTATTTCAAAGGCTGTCGTCAAATCCAGTTTGACCCCAAAACATTTTAAAGGACAGAAACCATGTATGAATCCTGCTCCTTTGGAAACATTCAACCTACTGCCCCTGCAAAAGATAACTGAGATTACTGGAACAGAGAGCCAGATTCTGTGGTTTTAATTGTTTTTGGTTTAACTCCAAAAGCGCTTCATCACCCCCACAGTTTCCATTATACAGCAGATCATGTTTGTTGGTTGGTTTGGGGTTTTTATACAGCCACTCTTGTTCATGTTGAATAGACCTTTAATCCTTGTACTTGCAGGCAGAGGAATAATCTGCTTTTCACTGAGTACAGGCTCGTGGACAAACACCTGCTTTTCCAAATCAGGCTGTGCTGGAGCACCAGGCTGTTTTTCACCATCTCCTTTCCTTCCCTGACCAGCTGTTGCTGCCTCAGACTTTCCCCATCCTGCTTCCAGGTGGGCATGGGAGCAGCTCATCCAGCTGATCCCGGGGGTAGCCAACAGCCAGCAGGGAAGGGAAGGGCAAACCAAAGTGGGCAAAACTTCCATGCTTTGGAGATCACGTGGCAATGAGCATTTGCCCACACCTCGAAACTATGAGGACTGAGATCCTAAAAAGAGAGAAGGCATTAAAGCAATTTAATGTCTATACAGCCAACTGGAAGAGGCTTCAGGAATATGTTATGTGCCATGTGGAACTCAATTGGAAACAGCCAGGCCTCAGGGTTTGCAAACTTCTGAAAGTTTATTTTTCAGAGAGAAGCCATTATCTAGTTAGCTTTTTTTTTTTACGTTTTTTATTCCCTCCGCCCTCCATGCAGCAGAAGTTTTATTCTTCTGAAAAATTTGCAACCTTGTCTTCAGCTACTTTATCAGTACCCAGAGACTGAACTGTACAGAGTTTACTGTGAAAGGGGAACGTGGAATAGTTTCACTGTAAAATCAAAAACATAAAAATATAGGGATGTGAATTCCTGAAACTGGAAAGGCTTTACCAGTATAATCAAAGGTATTGCTTAACATATGAAACTCAAACCTTTTCTTTTAGTTCAGTGAGAATTCTGTAGTGGGTGTGAACTGCACAGGGGTGCTTGTTCTTCTCATGATTTTAAAAAAGAAAAAGTAGTGTCCTTCGTTTTTCCTGTGTAAGAAAGATTGCTGGTTTCAGCGAAGTTTCACCATTCAGGAAAGGTACATGTTTACATGAGTTAAAAAGTCTTTATAGGGGACCTAACTTTAAACCCATGTGTAATTGCCCCCCTTGCCCCCAAGTAAAGTCATTCATATGCAATAGAACTAATTTTTTTTTTAATCAATGTGATTCTTCTGCAGTTATGACTATTGAAACTTGTAATTCTTATTTTCTAACCCAAACCAGAGTTCTCAGTCCAGTTTTTTCAAGATTCCTGTAACATGCAAGGCAATTTCCTGTCACTTTTTAACTTTGGAAGCCTTGCAGTTTAGTAAACCAATTCCAAAACAATCAGGATATATTTCTAAATGACTGTTACAAAGAAATAATCGTGTTGGAAAATATTTAGAATCAACTCTGGCTCTGCAGTGGGTTTTTCCTATGTCTGGATATTGTGTCAAAGTGGAGTCCTGCTGACCTCAGGGAAACTCCATAAGGATCCACATCAGGCTGCATTTATGTGCCAGAGAATTGGTTCCTTGTTCTGGTACCTGATCTCTGTTAAGAACTTTTTGGAGAGCCCTCCAGCTTTATTTTGCTTGTGTACCTGGGTGTTCTTCCAGTGGAAACCAGGGTATGGACGAAGGGCTTGGAAGGGCAGGGACTCACGTTGGCCTGGTGTGCACCACATAATTGTTCTGGTATTCAAAATACAGCCAGAAGCCAGACCCACAGTGAGGAACTGGAGTTCCCAGTTCCTGTGCTTCCAGAGTAGCTTCAGGTTTATGGATATTCTAGTGGAGTGAAGCCACAACGACTTAATGCATGAATAACATGGATTTTGGGTCAGGAAGAATTGGAAGTTCATCTTCCTGACTTCTATGAACTTGACAGCCCACAGGATGAAACAAAGCCTTTCCAAGGGGGATGGTATTTGCACTTAAACAAAAATGCAGAACACCCTGGTATTTTGAAAAATTGGAACCCATGCATTTAATTGTAATTAAAGATGATTTAACATTTATTTTCTGAAGCTGAGTCGTCTTGGGAGAAAAAAAAATAATAAGTATTGGTCTATGCAAGACACAAATGTCAAAAATGTGTGAATTACCCATTTTTAGGTGCTGTATTGTTGTTGTCTTTCTGACTTCTGTTACTTTGATTAGTCTTTTCAACCTTTCAGCCTTATGTTCAGCTTAAGAGTTGAAAAGGCAAAGTGTAGTTTTGAAATCCTGTTGGAAATGTAACTACCCTTCCTTCCCTCATGGAAATCTCGCATGTTAAACAATTAAGTGAAATGTTTTTGGTTTCCTAATAATAAATCCAGACTCTCACCACCTCCTGAAAACAGCATATCCATGAACATGCACGTTTAATTGTGGTGTGCAAACGATCAAATCATCAGCCTTGTGCTGGGGGCACTTTGCTCTTCACTCTTCAGTGCAGCTGAGGAGTAAACAGGTTCATTTTGCCAAGCTCAGTGTGGATTCCTTCCCCCCCCCCCTTACCCCCTGCCCTTGGCATGCCAAACACCCTCAAAAAGGTTTAATTTTCGAGGCCTAAAGTAACCTGATCGTCCAGTGTGTAAAGCACAGTGAAATCGCCACTAAGGTGCTTTTAAGTGATTGCCCAAATCAGGTTATCTGTTCATTCTTGTCACCTGGAAATACAAAACCTGCTCCTTTTCCGTGACTTAGATCTTTAGGGCCTGCTGAGCGGTCACAGCTGGTTTTGCCAGAGAAAAGCAAGGTGTGAGAAGGCAGTGAAATGCCTTTCCAACCTTGTAGGCTCCTGTAAAATGACATAGTTCAAGTTAATAGAATCCAGTGTGTTCAGGTCGTGACGGAAGTGGCCCATAAATCTCTGCGTGGGTTTGGCAGCACTGGGTCTGTACAATCGACAATCTTTAAAATGTGAACCCTGTAACTTTTCTGTCCTTGGTTGTTAAAGGGATTTTTGAAGCAGCTGATCTATCAAGGGATAAAATTAAAAATGAGAATATGCCTCATGGATGATTTATTTTTACACTGCTGTTCTCTGTGAACAGAAAAAAAGCACATTTTTAAAGCAAAGCATTTACATGACTTTTAACAGTGTTGTTTGGCTGAAAGACAAATATGTTTTCAAGAAACCTGGAGCGTAGTTTTAAACTATTTAACCAGTTCCTGGCCAGGGAAAGTCCTTTGTATTTGTTTGGGGTTTCTTGTTTATGCAATTGAAGAAAAATGTTTACTAGTTCTTACCAGTATGGGGATTTTTATTATGCTTTTGTAATGCAGGAGCAGCTTCAATGAAAGAAAGAATTAGCAGGTAAATAGTCCATAATGTGTGTGACTTTGGGTGTTTTTTTTTTTCTTTGTTGTTGTTTCAAAATTATTAATTAAAATGGCATGGAGAGCAAACTTCCAGTAATGGTTCCAAGCACAAATGGTAGTGACTTATTTGAAAAGATCTCCTCTCTGCCAGTCCCATGTGTTAACTCATTCAGACAGATTGCAGTGCATTTCTGAAATTGCCATGTTCTCCTAAATCAGAAATCCTCAGGAAAGGAGCTGCCTCTTTATTAGGAGGCCGTGATTCTTCTCCAGCAAGAATCTCCGACTCATTTCACCCAACGTGTGAGTCTCGCTCTGCAAAGACCAAGTCAAACATGGGTGATCTGAAGAGAAGATTTATTCTGCTTAGCCCAGGAGCATTGGTTATTCCTACACTCTCTCTTCCCCAGCATCTGGCATGGTGAGATCCACGTGTGCCTCCCAAAGGGAACAAGCCCAGAGCCCGGCACACCCGGAGAAGGGGCTGTGTGTGACTGCACTGGCCACAGCTGGTACAGCCCCCAGGTGCCCTGCCTGGCTTAGCAATCTGTGTGACAGAGCTCCTTTTACCCTGGGGAACATGCAGTTCTAATAGAAGCATAATTGACCATTTTCTTAGGGGAAAAAAATGATCTTTTTACAGCTGTTTTCTTACTCCGGAACGTATTTCCCCAAGAATTTTGGATCATTTTTGTTTTCAAAGGGTTAATCTGTGAATAGCTGAGTAGTGTGTGTTATAGACACAGGAATATTTGATCATTTCTTTGACCTTAAGAAGTGTGTCTGAGAGTTAGTGCCAGTAACTCCTGGTGATATCATTGGAAATAATTTTAACTCCACTGCTGCCAGGGAGCAATTTTTTCCTTAATCTGAAATGAATAAACAACCAACCTAACAAAACAACCAACCAAAAAAAAAAACCAAAAGTAAGAAAAACCCACACCTCTAAAGAACAAGTGGGAATGGCATCAAACTGAAAGAGAGGAGGTTTAGATTAGATATTACAAGGAAATTCTTTACTGTGAGGCTGGTGAGGCCCTGGCACCAGGTTGCCCAGAGAAGCTGTGGCTGCCCCATCCCTGGAAGTGTCCAAGGCCAGGTTGGACGGGGCTTGGAGCAACCTGGGATAGTGGAAGGTGGAATTGGATAATCTTTAAAGTCCCTTCCAACCCAAACCATTCTCTGGTTGTACATTTGTATCACCTAAATTATGCCCCATACAGTGTATTTTTAGTCGACTTCAAATTCCCCTGAAAGCTGAATGCCCTCTTCAGTAAGCCATTAAAGGAATCAAAAGCTTTAATTCTAAGGAAGTGGTGAGCTGGTTTGCTGTTTCTAAATAAGCCTCTTTGTAAAAAACCAGAGCAATATCCTCAAGTCTAAAACAAGGGAAAACAAACTCCACACGCAGTGTAAAATGAGGATTCTGCAAAAAAAAAGCCACAATAAGGCTGGGACACATATTAGGTACTGTGTTATTTATTTAAAGTCCATATATAAATTCATGCAAGTTCAGAGTGTGTGAGGTATGTGGGTTTAAGTCTGTGGTGTATTTAAAACACAAAATGACAAGTCACCAATTTGGACACCCTCCTAAAACCTGGAAGCAACGTGACCTTTGCAAGTCAGGTTTGGTTTGTCTTCCTGATGCAACTAAGGTGTGACCCAGGGCTTATGAAGTAATCAGGGAAAAAATCTGTGGGTATTTACCTTCTCTGTTGGTCTTTGGACTTTGGTGTCACTACCAGCACAAGTCAGGGGCTGAGGCCCTTGGACCTGCTCCCGACCATCATTCCTGGCACACGTTCTGTTGAGTTGATCCCTGAATCCTGACTATAAGCTGATGCATATATGCTAAATGTGAATGTGGTAATAAAAGTTAATTTAGATAATTCTTCGTTAAGACCCAAGAATTCTTTAATTTAGATTTAAAAAAAAAAAAAAAAAAGGGCCATGAAAAAGCATGCAGAGAATACCTAAGGAGCTAGTGGTTGACTTACATGTCACTTTTGCTCTGTGTGTGTGCATCCTCTTTCCCCTGCAGCCCTTCACTGTGAGCTGCAAACTGTGGACACTTCCCTGAATTTCTTAACACTCATCAGATTGTGTTGCCTCACATTTCTGAGTAGCTCAGTTTATGACCCTGTTTGGTCTTTAAGATTTAGGCCACTTGCTTTCAGCAGAGGCTGGCACACAGAGAAGACGAGGGAACGTATTTATACGTGCAGTTACAAGAAATTACAAATTCAATTACTGTGCAGCTACTGATTTCTCTAAGATACTTAGGAATATGTATGGTTCCATGGGCAAGATCCATATTAAGGCCAGGAAGGAGAGAGAATATTTCTATTGCTGGTGTCTCACTCTATTTTTATATTGGAACAAAAGGGTTATTTTTTTTAATACACAAAGGGGGGTTTTTTTGCACAGCTGATTCTGATTAAGTTTCTTAACTCAGTACTGTAGCTGGACCGAGACCTGAAAGCTCTTGAAAATTTTAAGAAGCATCATCAAATGAAACTCAGAATTACAAAATTCCAGAGATTTTGAGGAACTGATTTGGCATTTCAAGTAATGCCTCTGTTGCCTTCTTAGCTTTTCAGATGCTGGGGGAAAACAATGTTCCTGACTCACTTGCACGCACAGGGACACTTCCAGCAACTTCAGAAATAATGATTTTCCTCTAAGATCCCCCATCCTGCTTTCAAACAACTGGTTTTGTATTCCTGTCCTTTTTCCTTTTTTTTTTTTTATTTGCAAGCTGGCAACAATTAATCCTTGATTACATACCCTGGACTTTTTCTGTGTTTCTTGAGCTTCTGAACTGTGAATAGCCATTGAATAATGACTCTGCAGGTCATTCCAGGATTCAAAGCCAGCTGCTGGAAAAAGCCCAACAGCCTTCCAGAACTGAGTATTGGATACTGCTATGGATGCAGTATCGGAATGATAACTAAAAGAAGAGACATCCTTAGTGCTAGATGCACAGTTGAGATGCACATTGAAGCTAAATCATGGAGTAGAATCACAGAATCACTAAGGTTGGAAGAGATTTCTGACATAAAGTCCAACCTTTGACCAAACTCCACCCTGTCAACCAAACCACGGCACTCAGTGCCAGTCATTTCTTGAACACTTCCAGTGATGGAGGCTCCACCACCTCCCTGGGAAGGCCCTTCCAATGTTTAACAACCCTTTCCATGAAGAAATTTTTCCTGATGTCCAACCTGAACCTTCCCTGCTGCACCCTTTCCACTTGTCCTGTAGAAATCACTTTGACCCTAAAACAATACGTATGCTATTTCCCCACATGAATGTGTGTCACTTTTTTTCATGTACAGGCTTTTTTATAATGTTTGTCTTTGCTCCAGTAAAAGGTTTTAGTCATAGAACTGTGTATTTTAGTGCTCTGCACCACAAAATATGCACATCCTGGGGAAATGTGCATAACCCCTCTCTATTAAATCATGCAAACCTTCAATTTAAAGAAATTAACTGATCAGAAAAACACATTTCTGTTTTAAATTTCAGAAGCAGAATGCACACTGCATCAAATGTGCATACATTGAGTTTGCCCTCGAATGCCTGGCCACTAAATCCCTCTTCTTCTGCAGCCCCTTGCTTGCTGTCCTGCAGTTTTGACCAAGATAACCCAAAGTGTCATCTCTGCTGTTCCCAGAGGACATGTGTTTTAAAATGCCAAATCTACTCTTTTGGTCTCCCCTGCCCACCTGCACAGAGGAAGGAAACCTCTGCCTCCTTGTTCTCATCCTGATCAGAAATCACCTGGATCAGGATTTCTGATAATTGAAGAGCACAATGCCTAGGAAAAAAATGGCAGGGAACCATCCCCCCAACACCTGGGGTTGCTGAAGCTGTTTGGTGAACTCCACAGGAGGAATTCACTCCTGGCAGGTTGTCAGGAAAGGTGGAAGGACTCGGGCAAATACTTCAGTTTCTTGGCAGTGGGTGTAGTTGTGCCCAAAATGATGGGCTTTTTTTCACTCGTGAATATTTAACCCTATTATTGTACAGCCTCGTGAGGCAGGAACTGAGAGGGCATGTTAAAAATGGCTGACGGACAAAATGTTTCTATTTAAATCAATGATTCTATGATTAATGCAATGAAGAAAGGCCCTGTTGATTCCACAAGTAACTAAGCATCAGTAATGATATTTTACAAAATAACAGGACAATGAAGAACACGAACAACCCCCCCAAATGTTGATTTCACTACATGTAAAAGGAGCTCTTTTTAGGAGCTGCAAATTTCAGCTCCTAGAAGTTGTTGTCTTAATTTTCAGGGCTAGTTTAGAGGTGCACGTTGCTTTGCTCCTGAGGAACATCTGCAGCCTACCTGGAAACACGTGCCTGGCTCTGATGCAAAGTGACAGTGACCACGTGAATGAAAACACAAAAACCACACCCTTGTCCAGGCCTTGGGGAAAATCTGACCCGGGGAAAATACAAATAACTCCAGCAACACTGTGCCCAAACTGTAGACAAGCACACGGGTGATCAGTGTCGGAGAATCCAGGACAACACCCGTTCGAGTAAAGCACGCTGAAAACCCAAGACATTAAACTTAAACTAATGAATTCTGGCAACTGATTGGTGTCTTTGAACAGGGTTTGGGCTTTTTTTTCTTTTCTTTTGTCTCTGTGCTGGTGCTGTTGAAGGAAAAAGTAAAATAATGCTTCTTCCAATGTGATGAAATGCAGACAGAGATCCTGTGAGACTTCCAGGCAGAGCCTCCACATGGAAGGTATCTTCAAATCAGAGGTGAGGGCAGAGCAAAGAAACTCTTCGTCACCTCCAAGGGGCAGCTTAAAAAAGGGGCCTGCGGGGACTTTACTGCACAGATATTTGAAGAATAACTCTTGTCATTGTTCCTGTGCTGAGCTTGGATAAAGAGCATTCACACAAAACCAATATTATTCAGGGGCTGTCCCCATCTGTGGGTCATTCTCCCCTGCTCAAAGCTTATCAGTCACACCAGGGAGGGAGGCAGTGTGACAGATAAGATGTGTGACAAATGATAAACTACCCCAGCAGCCCACCAGCCTCCTCAGGTGGCAGAGAGTCTCCCAAATCCCTCATGACTCCTTCCAGATAATCCCTATGCTTGCAAAACCCATCACTGTGCTTGCAAAGCCCGGGGACTCAAACACTCACACCTTGCAAACACATAGAGGATGTGAATTCCTTCAGCTATTTGTAAATACCCAGACAGCACCTAATTAAAAACCTGTAATGGGAAGAATTTCTTGTGCTGCTGGTGGGCACGGTGTCTGTCTGGAAGGTGGCAGTGAGCTTTAACCTTACTAAATATTAAAATTTTTACACCAAATTGAGAAGAGCAGAGGGGAAGGATCATCGGGTAAAACTCCCATCCCCATTCTTAGAGGGATGGAGCAGCTCTCCTGTGAGGAAAGGCTGAGAGAATGGGGACTGTTCAGCCTGGAGAAGAGAAGTCTTTGGGGTGACCTAACTGTGGCCTTCCAGTACCTGAAGGAGACGACAAGAAAGATGGAGAAGGACTTTTCATAAGGGACAGGACAAGGCATGATGGGTTCAAACTGAAGGAGGGGAAATTTACGTTTGATAGATGGAAGAAATCCTTCAGGTGAGGGTGTGTGAGGTTGGTGAGGCAAGGTCAGTCTCTGACAGCCCCAATGAAGGGGACCCTTGTTACATCCTGAAAATCAAATTCACCTGCTTCCTCCAACCTTTTCTTAATCCTCCACCTGAATCCCATCTTATCATTGTGGTTTTTTGTGGTCAAACAGCATTGGACAGAGTAGTAGAGAAGAAAATGAAAACAAATTGAGGTACATATTTAAAGTTTCCAGGTATACCTGGGGCCAAGGCGGTTGGAGAGAGGCTTGTGTGGCCTGAGTACCACCAGCTAACACATGAGGAAAGTATATGTGTCCTTAACAGTAAAGTGTTCAGAAGATTATTGGTAATGTGGATTTTATTCAACCCCTTGAAGGAACACAGTTAACATTTGTTAACAACTCAGCCTGATAAAGCTGTGGTTTTTAGCAATGTATCCCTGCATATATATAGGTATGGTGTGTGTGTGTGTATATTTCTATATGTCAAAGCATTCAGAAGGTGAAGTTCTGCTGTCCCAAGTCTGTCTCCAGAGGACACAGCTACTGACGTGGAATTTGGGGTATTCCTGCTGAACTGGGACACAGCAGGGACTGACAGGGGGTCAGTCAAGATGGCTGTGAAGGACTGAGTCTTGACTGCCAACATCCTTACCTGGGTCTTCAAGGCTTTGCCTTGAAATGAACGGTGAAATGCTGAATATGGAGACATGAAAGGGGTTTGCCTCCCAAAAACACGTCCCTGTGCCAACCCACCCCCTCCTCCCACCTCATGACAAGATTGGAGAGAAGGTGTGAGCCAGATTTTGATCCCACCACTTCGAACCCGATGGAATTACAGGAAGCAAAGACCTGGCTCCTGGGAGGAAGGAGTTTAATGTAAACAGCCCATATAAACACAAACACATACAAAAAGCAGAACCATCTCACAAATAAATAAATAGCTGCGCTTTGCTCCAGTTACATGCGAGCAGCAATCAGTCTAAGCTCTGACAGCCCCTTGCTGTGGAACAAACCTTACAACCAAGCAAGCCCACCCTCTACAGACATTTTGCCCTGGCGTATAAATGACACCCGGAGAGAGTGGCCCCTCTCCAGCGCTCCGTGGCACGGCCCTGACAACCCCCAAGTCCTCGAGGGGCAGTTCGAAGCATCCCGCACCTCTCAGCGAGGATGCTGCCACAGGGGCTCCCCTGCCCTCACCCAGCAGAGGGAGAGGAGCCTCACTCCTTGCCCTCCCCACCACTGCACTGCAGCTGCCCGCCCTGGGGAGG